CCACAGTCGCTGGACCTTGCTGAATACAACGTGCTCTTCGTTTTGAGTTTCACCACACCAGCCTTTGATTCCGATGTTGCACCTTCCTTTGGGACCCTCCTTGCCACAGTCAATGTGGCCCTTAACATGCTCGGAGAGGTACTGGCCCTTTCTCTCTCTGAGAGAGCACAGAGGTTGCAGTGATCTCAGAGTGCTCATTGAGCTTTGAAGGGTGGGAGTATTCCTTCTTTCATATCTCCTAACGCCTGTCTTCTTTTCCCTCCAAGCTGGATAAGAAGAAGGAACCTTTCCCTCAGGCTGCAGGGCTGAATATGCAAGAGGGAACCAAAACCCTCAAGTAAGTTTTTAGCTCTTTGATTTAGTTGTGGCCAAGAAACAAAACTTAATGATCCTTGGTCAGAACTGAGGTTTAGAGGCATCTGTGTAGCTTCAGAGCTTCTCACTCTGAATCCAAGCAGTTTGATAGCCCATCAGAAGCTCCCCAAAGCAAGTAGGGTATTTTGGGGGGGAGGGTGTGTGAAGCCACACATCCCATCCTCAGTCAGCCACTGAACATGCAGATAAAGAGTTGGTTGATGCTTATTTACCAGCAGTTTTTAGTCAGCCTTCCCTGATGGGCAGTGTTTGAGAGGAGTGAACAGGAACTGTTCCCTCATACGTACCCAGCCTATGAAGACTGAAGAGTGTTTCACCACGCAACCAGAGTGTGCTGACTTTTTGGGTTCCTTGCTGGTGTGTTTCTTTGCACAGGTCTCTGCTCATGTTTACAATGGAGAACTGTTTCTACCTGCTCATCTCCCAGGCTGTTCGGTACTTGAGAGACCCAGCGGTGCATCCCCGTGATAAGCAGCGCATGAAACAGGAGCTCAGCTCTGAGCTGGTGAGAGCAGCTTGCTCCCTGTTCAGTGTCAATGGGATCGGTGGGAGCAGGTCCTTTGTCTCTGTGCTACCCATTTAAAGGCTTGGGGCATCCTGGGGAGGGAGGGGGCCTGTGTCTGATGGAGGCTCATTTGTTGTGTGCTTCTGCTTTCAGAGTACTCTGCTCTCCAGCCTGTCCCGTTACTTCCGCCGGGGTGGTCCCTCCTCCCCTGCCAGCGGGGTCCTACCTTCTCCCCAAGGGAAATCCTCCTCCAAGCTGGGCCCTGAAGGGCAGGAGCCTTTGATTCAGCTCGTGCAGGCCTTCGTCCGGCACGTGCAGAGATAGATGCGATCCTGCCCCCGCCTCCCTCCTCAGGACTTGCAGCAGAACGATTCCCATCCACCACAGACGACGGCACCTTTGGCAGAGAGCTCGGAACAAGGACTGGGTGAGGGAGGGAGGCCTGGTGTGGGCAGGGCTGCAAACAGCTGTACCATCACAGCGAGATCCCATCGAGCTCTTGCGACCCAGCAGCAGAGTGAATGTAAGGAAAGCCAAGAGCTCTGGGGGGGGGGTCAGGATGTGCACAGCCTGCCCGCTCCAGCTGCTGAGCTGGGGGCAAGGGCTGAGCAGTCAAAACCTTTATTTTTATAGCTTGTACCTCAGCTGGGAAGGTTGGGGCTGGATGGGGAGAGGAGGCAAACTCTGCTGGGCATTAGCTCTGCTCTCAACACAAGGTGCAGCCTGCCTCTCCCAACCAGGGCCCGGCTGAGGCACAGCCAAGGGATCAGCCAGCAATTCAGAGACCATCTTTCTACTGCTATTTTTGTACTGAGTGGTTCAGGCAGGATGGTGTATGTGTGCTCATGCCTTCCCTTCCCCCTGCAGGCTGTGTGTTGTGTGTGTTTCTGAAGAGCAAGGCCTCACTCAAAGTTTTTAAGGCACAATTCCATTGCTCCAGTCTTGCAGTTTTTTGTAACTGTGCCCTATTTATACTGATATTAAAACGTTTATAGACAGCAGCTGGATTCATGGCTTTCAGTTGGACCAGTTCTGCATGGACCAGTTCTGCATCTTCTGTGCAGCAGTTTGCTTGGGAGTGACAATCTGGGGCTTGGGAGTGACAATCTAGGTACCTCTTGAAGCCATTTATAATCAAAGGTTGATTCCCTTGGCTTTCCCATACCCATTCCCTTCTCTTACTCTCACATTGGGGAGGTTTTAAATGAGCATCACTATAAAATACTCCTCCTGCACACAGTGGGGTTGCCCATGCACAGAGATCACTCAGTGGTCAGGTCCAAGGTGCTGCTGTGCCTGTTGCAGCAGCAGGGGAAGGCACAAGTTCAAGCTAGAAGACACTGTCCACGGTGGAGCTGAATCGTCCTGTTGTAGCTCTCAGTAGATAACAAACTCTTCAAGGTTCTAAGGCTCAGCATGTGGTGGAGGCAGTAATAGGAGGTCAGGGATTATTGCTTAAAGCCTGAAATCTAGACAGGCTTTTCTAAGGTAAGAAATCCCATTTCCATGTAGCTGTGAGCCGGTGAGCTACCAGCTCTCTCCTAAAGAGACACTCAGTTGCTTCACCAGTCACAACCTCTTAATCTCAGTGGTTTTAAGAGACCAGAGGAAGCAAATGAGCTTACTTTGCTCTGAGTTTGGTATCTGTTGTGAGCTAAAGCAATGGCAGTGTTCTGGTGCATGTGTTTGAGCTGCTTTCCCTTGCCCTGCAGGCGTTGAACGAGGTGGCTGGAGCAAAGTGGTCTCAAAGCAGGAGAGGGGGTTGATTATCTTCCAACACCCGCAGGGCCAGTGAGGGAGGCGGTGCTGCAGGGCTGAGCCTGCCGGGGTTACCTGTAACCCAGAACACATTTCTGCCACAGGGGAGCTCCCAGTGTGAACGTGGAGGTTGGAAGGTGAAGAACAGAGCAGAGGAGGTGGCAAACTGGTGCCAGGCTCTGGGGAGTGGAGGTAAAGCTGGAATCCAGGACACGTAAGCAACACATCAGTGTTGCTTAGGGCTGTTACAGCTGTGGTAGGCATCTTCCCTTTGTTACAGCTTTTGAAGTTAAGAGTGTGCTGATCTTAGTGTGCAACAAGAACAGATAGAATGAGAGTTTAGGGACAAGTGCTACATTCTTTTAGCTACTTCTCATGCACTAGAGTGAGAGTTCCTTGGTGCCAGATGGCAAAGAGCTGTTGGGTACAGATGTGTTTTAGAGCTGTAGCTTCACTTCAGACAGCAGCAGTTCAGCCCTGAGTTGTACCTTTACTGCCCCGCAGCCACAGAGGGGCATGGAACAGCCTTTGGCCAAGGGTGGCTCACCCTGAACTGCAATGAGCAGCATGAGAGTAAGCTCGTTGTAGAGAACCAGTCAGGAGTGGAGCAGATGTGCTCTTTGCTAATGGAGAGGGAAGGGAGTGCTGGTGCCCGGAGCAGCATTCCTGATGGCTGTTCTGAGGGAAGAGACACCATTTCCTGCATCATTGAGCTGAAGCTGGTTTTAACCGTTCCTCCTCTTTAACAACCCAAGGAGATGAGTAACAGGGAAAGGGGGATGTCACTGGGCTAAGGGAAAGGCACAGACACTGGGAGCTGGAAGGGGAACAGGCAGGGGCAGAGCTCTAAAAGGGCAGAACTGTGGCAGCTGTAATCAGGGCAAGGGTAAAACTAACAAAGTTGTACAGTCTAAGTGTGAACTGTAAATGAAATGACACGTAAATGAAACTTCCTTCCACCTGAGCTTACCTGGAAAGCCTGAACACCATTGCTGCACTGCAGAGCCCTTCAACTGCTGCTTTTCCCAGGAGCTCTTTCCAAGCTGGGTGCTAGGGACAAGGCTTTAGGATGTCTGAGCTGGTTTCGATGTAGAACAGCATTTCCAGTCTCAGAGCACATAAAGCTGTGCTGCTGCTCTGGTTTTGCTTCAGGTTAAGGAGGAGCTGCTGCTCCAGAGCTGAGTCATGTGGGAAGGGAACTACAAGGCATGAGCAATGCTGAGGCTCCAGCTGGGACAGGAAGGATGAGCAGCTCCCAAGGCAGAAGGGCACTGCTCCCACCCCTGCATCCCTTTGCTTGGAGAGCAGGGCCAGGCCTGACCCCGCAGCAGACACTGAGGCAGGAGCTCAGGCAGGTTGTTTATTGGCAAATAAGTGCTGAAACCCATAAGCCCCCCCCCCCCAAGAGGTGCTCAGTGCCCTGTTACATCGGAGTGGTCACGATACCATTGGGGAAAGTGCAAAAGTCAATAAACAAGCAAAGTGAGTTCTGTCACACCGAGGGGAGGGCTGTGAACAGAGAGCTTGGTGCAGGTGAGATTCAATTCCAGCCAGCTTGAGTGGAAAACCAGAGGTGAGCTCTAGCACAGAAGCTCGTTATAGGATTAAAGGGCATACACACCTGAGCACTCCCTTGGAGCTAAACCACCACTGGCTTGGTTAGTGTGTGTATGGCCAAGAGTAGCTCGTGGTTGGAGATAACAGCGACTGGGACTGTCCCTTTCTGTCCTAGGATGCACCAAGCCTGTTCACAGCTGTGATGGGAGGGAAAGCGTTACTGAACCCAGTGATCCAGGGGGAAATAAAGTCAGGCTAAAACATGCCTGGACCAGATGCACTGAAAGAAAAGCCTGGACAATCAGCACGGGGAGCAAAGCTTGTAAAAAGGCTTGTAAACTCTTTGCAATCTGTGAGCAGCTTCTCAGAGGAAATGCAAGCAAGATGCACGGTCCCTTGCACTGAGGTTTGATGCCTGACATACAGGCCCTATGTTATTAGCTTGGTCTTCACAAAGAAACTCCCAGCTTCATTGGGCAGTTCTAGATGGAAGCCATCAGGCACCATGACAGCAAGCACAGCTCTTGGAGAGCCTCGTGCTCCTGTTCTCCCACTCATGAGCAAGGTGGATGGGTTTAATGGGCTCTTAAATTCAGCTTCCTTGCCTTAAGAGCTAGGACCATTGGGGGGTTGGTGTGGGACACTTCCCACTGGAATGCTTGATGGGTTGACTTGGGGGAGGACAGGAGGGGCAGACAGGCACTAAACCCACACCAGGCACAAGGGAAGTGTAACTTAAACTCCATGAGCTGAGGGGCACAGCTTGCTCGCCCTGGGAAAGCCACTATGATAAATGACACTGGGATAGGGCAGGGAAAGAAACAAGTGATCAAGGAATCTTGCACCATCAAGACTAACCCCAAAGCAGCTGCACTGGGAGTGAATGAATCCAGTCCTGGGTGCCACCAGCCCCTTCCCAAAACCTTCCTGTAACAGTTCTACCACTCCTTTCCCACAATTCCCATACTAGCAATGGAGCATCGACCCTGAAGAGAGCAATGGTCTCGGATGAAGAAGTCCGCATTAGGAGTGCCAGGAGATGAGGGGTGCGTTCTGCTTGTACATTCTTCTTCCTGGAAACATTTAACTTAACAGTTCCAAGTAAGTGACAGGAACTTTCCCTTTCTGGTTCCCTCTTTCCCCTATGAGCCAGTCTGGATCCATGCCCGGCAGGCTGTACACAGTGATCATCTGGGGAGAGAAGACAGCGTTAACACAGGACCTGACCCTGCTGCGAGAGCTCAGTTCAGCCAGGTGGATGCTGAAAGAGTAATTCCCAAAGCTCATTCAGCAGGCACCAGTGCCCCTTTCCCTGGAGCTATTGGCAGCTCTCAGGTAAGGAACCTGCATTTGAGGCTGACAAGATATGAAGTATTGGGGTATTTGGTTAGCTGTCTGCAGCTGGACTCCAATAGAATAAAGGAGTTATTGAGGTGATGTTCTTCAACAGCAGACAGCCATGAGCACAAGCTCACTGCAACTCAGTGGATCAAGACTATTAATAGTCCCATAAATAATCCCCTCATCTGGAATATTGTGTCCAGTTCTGGGCCCCTCAGTTTAAGAAGGACAGGGACCCGCTGGAGAGAGTCCAGCGCAGGGCAACTAAGATGATGAAGGGAGTGGAGCATCTCCCTTATGAGGAAAGACTGAGGGAGCTGGGTCTCTATAGTTTGGAGAAGAGGAGACTGAGGGGTGACCTTATTAGTGTATATAAATATATAAAGGGGGAGTGTCACGAGGATGGAGCCAGGCTCTTCTCAGTGGCAATGATAGGACAAGGGGCAATGGGTACAAACTGGAACACAAGAGGTTCCACTTAAACTTCTTCTCAGTGAGGGTGACAGAACACTGGAACAGGCTGCCCAGGGAGGTTGTGGAGTCTCCTTCTCTGGAGACATTCAAAACCCGCCTGGACACGTTCCTGTGTAACCTTATCTAGGTGTTCCTGCTCCGGCAGGGGGATTGGACTAGATGATCTTTTGAGGTCCCTTCCAATCTCTAACATACTGTGATACTGTGATACTGTGAAAATGGGGCTTAGGGGCAGGAAAAGTAACCAAGACCACGCTGAGCACACAAAGGGGCTGTTAAACACTGAACCCAAAGGGAAGTTACCCACCTCATCTGCAAGGAGCGCCAGCTCGGTGCTGTCGGCTGCTTCATAGTCATAGAGGACTCTGGCTTTCCGTGTGCCGCTGGCCGGAGGCTTGACTTCATTTGGGTTCAGCACCCCCTCTGCCACGGCACTGGGCACCCCGACAATGGTGGGCACCACGGGGATGGTAGGCACAGCAGGGAGGGTGGCAGCAGCAGCAGCAGCCGGAGGAGAGGCAGCGGCTGCGGGAGGAGAGGTGGATTCTGCGTTGCCTACGAACGTGCCTGAAAACCTTACACAGGAGAAGAGAGTTCAGTGAGGCTCAGGATGAGGAGCCAAGACAGAGCTGCTTTCGGGGCTTACAGTGCAGAGGTGATGCTCAAGAGCTCCCCCCAGCACCTGCAGTGTATCCGTGCTGCCCTTCGAGTGGGGAAATGCACTTCTCAGGTGCTGAGGCCATGCAACAGATAATGCATTTGCTTATGTTGATGCCAGTGTCCTCTTAGAGGCCTGGCACTCGACTTGCAGAGTATGAGACTGAAGCGTGACCCTAAAGCAGGGTCTGGGCTCTGTGGCTGTTTTACTGGCTCCATGGTGCTGTGTCCTTGCCCTGCTCTGTGTTATCTGTTTACTCTGCTTGTCCTTCAGGAAAGGGACAGTCACTGTTGCTGTTAAACTGGATGCCACAGCTGGAAGCTCCAGGCTTTCTGGGCTCTCCAGAGTCAGTGATGGAGCTCGGTCTCACTGATCTCATTTACCCACTCTGCACTAAGGGAATGCAGCTCTGGCCTTTGCAGTAAGGTGAAGGCTGCGGTGGAGAGCTCTTAGGGGTCTCTGTGTGCAACATCTTACTTACATTTCTCCTTTGGAGCTGCCAGCATGGAAAAGAATGGAACAGGAGTAGTGAGTGTTCACACAGAGGCAACAACAGCCCCTCCTGGGTCAGGCTGATGAGACAGGTAACAGACAAAACATCCCTGCTGTGCCCATGGGATGTGCAGCCAGCAGCACAGAGCTGGTTCCTGCCGCAGCTGAGCATGCTCAAGCCTGCTGCTTGGCAACAGGAATCTGCTCCCATGTGAGCTAACTCATTTAGAGGAAGGATGTTCAAACTCTCATGGCCACCATGAGGGATGAATGTACAAACCCCAGATGAATCCAATGGCAGAGTCTGCTCTAGATGCAGCGCTGTCAGGATTGGCCTCCAGTCTGTGTGCTCAGCAGCTCTGGGAGAGCTTGGAGGGGGTTTGTAACTTGTGTGATGTGAGATGGGGAAGGAGGCCAGAGCCAGGGGTAACCCTCAGAGAAGTAAAAGCCATTTCTTGTCTCACCTGCCCAGTTGCTTCTGCAGGTCCAGCATGTACTGGTAGCACTGAGCATAGTAGTTGGTCTGAGACTCCACAAACTCATGGAGACAGCGAAGATGATTCACCTGCAGGGAGAAGGAGTTTGGGCTGTGAGTCTGGTTGCCAGGCACAGGGACTCTCTTCCTGCAGCTACTGCCTACCCCAAGGGAAGCAGACTCATGCAGGCCAGTATTAAAAGAGTGGCTTGGTTTGCTTGAATACACTCATCTGTTAGGCTTGGGAATGTTGCATAGGCACGGGGGTGACCTCGGAGAGGAGGATGCTCCTGGCATTCCAGCCATGTCCCTGTGCCTCATTCATAGCTCTAGAGATGTAACAGCAAGGTTTTTCTAGCTTGGAAGCATTTTGAGGACCAGAGAACGGCAGAAGCCACAGAGGCACTGCCTGTGCCTGCTTCATTGTGTTTCTAGTTCAAGCATTCTTATGAGGAGGTAGCATCCCAACTTAGGACCTCTTCTACCTCTGCTCCCAGTGCAGGGCTCCATGATCCTCTTGGCATCCTTCTAGCAAGGAGCCAAGAGTCCCTGTTGTCCCCATCACCCCCCAGTTACTCACGTGTGTGCTGCTGATCCCCTCCAGCAGCAGCCGCGTCACCTCTGCCTGACGATCAAACTCGGTCTGTGTGAGCCTCAGCTCGTGCTCAGCCTGCAAAACAGGACAGGGTGCTCAGGACAGCACAGGGCAAGGGCCCTGTTCGGCCTCCTCCAGAGGGGAGCAGCCTCCTCCTCCTCCTCCAACCCCCCTTTGCACTGAGACAAGCGTGCTGCTGGCTCAGCAGGGCCCACCTGCACCTCTGGCACTGAGCATCATGACCTGGGTGAGGATCCCAGGGGCCTCTGGCTGTGCTTTGATTCCTGCTTCATCCTGCACTGGATCAGTGCAGCTCAAGACTGCTCCTACTCCCACAAGAGTAGAACGTGAAGATGGAGGGGCTTTGATAATGCTTTGGTCCCATGCCAGGACCTCTGCTTTTAAGCCCCTCTTTCTAAGCCTACAGGCACAGGAAGGCGCAGCTTTTGCTGGTATCCTCTTGATCACCACAGAGCAGGGGCTGAGGCCAGGGAGCATTTACCAAACTGCTGTTACTAGATCTCTCTGCAATGGAGATGAGCTTCCCAATCCAACCACTGCCCAAGGCTCTCCTTTGAAGCTAGGAGGAACTGACCAATGGTTAACAGAAGGCAGCTATGCAGCAGACATTGGGAATTCAAAGACAGATTGATCCTGGAGCCTGTCCCCCATCACCAAACAGCGTATTTACCCTAGGGCAGCTCTGCAGTGCCAGAACACCCAGGTGAAGCCTTGCCAAGAGAAGAGCTCCAGAAGTCCTGGAGCCATCAGGAGCTCTGGTGCCTGCTCTCTCCTCCTGCTGCCAGAGGGCAAGGGCTGACACGCAGGCAGTGTTCTCTCTAGCATGCATCGCTCCTTAACACCCAGTGGAACAGGCCAGGTCCCCCTCAGTCTGTGCAGTGACCCAAGCACAGAATGATGGTCACTCAGCCACAGCTTACTGGAAGAAGCAGCTAGGCTGGAATGGACCCCAGAGAGAGCTAATGCAGCCAGGCCTGTGCTCTCAGAGCAGTGGCCCCATCACTGGGCACCCCAGAGGAGACCCAGCCTTCTCAGCAGGGCAAGCTGGAGGAGATGCTGCTGCTGCCCACTGCATCCCTCATCTGTCAGCAGCGCTATCAGTGTACAGCTAAGTGAGAACAAAGAAATGCTTTCACTGCTTTTTAATCAGATTTGCCTATTTTAAGCTACAACTGATCTATTTTCTTGCATCCTCTGTATGAGAGGGATCATTTAAAGGAGAAGGGGGAATGTACTGGGGCAATACCAGCGCAATGCCTTCCTAAGCACCAAGACATTCCTGACTTCAGTGGCAGCAGAGCTATTTGAAACTTGTGTCAGGCAGACCCAGCTCCACTTGGCACTGCCTGGATGTGACCCTGTCCCTGCCAGCTCTGAGCAGCTGCAGGAGGTAGGTTCCTATATAGCCAGCAGTGCTCTGTGGCCTGGGAGGTCACAGCCTTGTGCTTCTCATGGAGAACACTGAAGCCTACCGACATTGGTCTATCCAGCCAGGACAGAGGGAGGAACAGAGCCTTCATGCTTAGAGCTGACTGCAGTCAGCTTGTTTGAGGGACTGAAGGATTCAAAGTACAGATGAGCTGGGGTTGCTGTCACGCACAGCATGCAGGAACGTGCCATCTACCATTTCAGGCTTCAGGCTACCATCAGCTGGGGGTGTTTGAGGTATGAAAGGCAATGGGATCCCAGAAGGTGGCTCTGGAAGCTCCCCACCATGCTGGAGCTGCACACGGAGCTCACCCTGGTCTCCAGTGCACTAGCAGCCCTCCATCCACCTTCATGGCCCAGTCTCACTGCCCATGCAGAGCCCAGAACACAAGAGCCCCGCTCAGAAGGGTAAGCACAGCTTGTGCAGGCAGAAACAACCCACAACAGGCTCCAAACCTGCCCCCTGCCCACCCCACAGTACTGCTCCCTTTGGCAGCTGGGGCTGGCCATGGGAACCCTCTGTCCTTGCTTCAGCTCTGCCCAGAGCTCCTGCTCAGACCCCAGAACAAGCAGGCAAGGGGCTACGAGAGGCTGATGCATGGCACATGCAAAACTGGAGCAGGCAGGGCCTTTGGCACCAGAGCAGAGCAGAGCTGAGTCACAGCAGAGCAGAGCACAGCACCTCTGCACTGGGACACCGGTGCAGGCTCCTCAGAGCTGCCTTTTCTCACACACAGACACACACCCAGCCTGCCTCTCACACTGGGCACAGCCACCAGCCCACAGGGCAGGCTAATCCCAAGTCACTGCTGCTCCAAACCATAGAGCTGCAGGACCAGGATGGGGCTGATGACAGGAACACCCCACTGACCCCTCCCTGCCTGCACGCAGGGAAGGAGCCCACAGCACCCCCACCCCTGAACACCAGCATCACCCCCGGAAGCTTTGAGCACACCTTCAGCTGGGTACTTACTTTTTCCACCTCGTCGCTCCAAAGCTGTAGGGGCCACAGAGCAACAGGAAAGGAGATCAGTGTTGGAGACGTCGGGAAGCGCTCGGCATTAACACCAATGGGGAAGGATGCTCGGTGGACACAGGAGGCCGACTCCAGGACAAGCTCGCCCTTCACCCAGCAGCAGCTGCCACATTGATGCCCCTTCCCCTCACTCCTGCATCCCTGAGCTCAGTTTTATGATGGGGGAGCAAGCCCACACCCCCAGAGCCAGTGCATGATGCTCCCTGCCAGGGCTGTTACAGCAGCTGCTCCCAGAGGGCTCCAGGAGCATCAAGCAGCAGAGTCCTCTGAAGAGCAATTCTGCTGCAGCCTGCAGGGGCTGGTGGTGAGGACAGCCCTTCCTTTAGGATTGTGAGAGGCAAGTGAGCTGCTTGGGCTCACAGATAGGACCTGGGAGATGCCATGAGCTCAAGGCAGGCAGAGGCCAGCGTTCCTCACCCACTGGTCCAGAGAGCTGAGGTTAATGGGATCACAATCCAGCCTTGTCTGTGTTACTAACAGGCGTGTTTAGGTATAGCAAGGAGGAAGCAGCAGCAGGATGCTGCCTTTGAGACAGGCACAACATCACACTACTCCCTCCTCCCCTCCTTACCCACTGGGGCAGCACAACACTGCCAGCTGCTTGCTGGGATCTGGCTCCAGGGCATGAAACAATCGACAACAAAAGCCACAATGGGAAAGGGAGAGAAGAGGTAGAAGAACACATTGATCCTTGCCAGAGGTCCTCGGCTTGGCCTTTCCTCACAGACAACTACACCCTCACCCTGGATCAACTGGGAGCACAGCAGCAGCACCTGCATCAGTGAGGCCGGGGGTGATGGCCTCCGAGGAGCTCAGCTTCACCCCCTAACATCACCTTTGCACATCAGGGATGTTCACCAGGGCATGGCTGAAACGCACTGCAGACACGTGGGAGCCTTGCACTGGATGCTGTGGTGTCAGAGGGGGAACATGATCTGTGTAAAACCAAGGTCTCCCAGCTGAACCCTGTAGAGGTTTGGTCACCATCAGCTGCCTCAGGTGGGCAAGATGACTTCACCAGCCAATATAAGGAGATGCTGCAGGAGCTGCCTGTGCTGCTGAAGGAGGAAGATGTTACACTGTGCTCATCAGCTTGCTGTTAGCTCCTGTTCATGGTATGTACCCTGAGTGGCATCTCCTCTTCCCAGAGTAGAATTCTTTTGGCTGGTCCCCTTGTGATGCCAGGGTGTCTCTGTGGAGCACTCGGTGCTCTGAGGCTGGGTGTTTGCTCTGAGCTTTAGGAGCATGGTTTGTTACTGCAAACTGGGAGCTGGTTTAAATAGTGCCTGGGCAATCCCAGCCCTGGGGACACAAACTCTGTCCCCTTCTCAGGTTAAGGGCTCTGGAAGACAGATGGTGGGGAGATGCCTGTAGGCAGGTCCTAGCTTGAAGTGCTGCTCTGGCACAAGGCCTCTGCAGGCACATCCTTGTGTTTTTGGAGCAAGGTTTGCTATAGGGGCAATGGGAACCATCCACTCCAGCCACAGGTCTGCCTACTTAGAGGCTGAGGATGGTACTGAGGCCATTTCAGGCCCATTTAATCCCTGCAGTAACCATTGACTTTGTAGCTTGATTTGCTTCTCTTCTATTGGCCTTGCTGTCTGATCTCCAGCCCTGCTCCTGTGCTGCTCTGTGGTAGCTTTGCCCAGCTCTGTCCCTGGACTAAGGCACTGTGTGGCCCGAGCAGAAAAGGCCATGATCTGCACCCCTCTTCCTCCACCCCAGCTCAAGCCAGAGGAACCCTCTTTAAGGTACTCAATGTGTTGCTCTTGGAATCGTTCCTAGGAGCACAGCACATGGCAAGTGGCAGGCTCTGAGAGAAAGGGATATTGAGGCTCATGCTGCCCATGTAAACCATACACAAAATCAACAGGTCAGTGTGGGAGAGAGGAGAAATGGCTCCTCAGCCTCCAACACATACAAACAAGGGAGGTGCTTGTCTGTAGATGGATCTAATTCCATCTAATCCCTCCTGTTATGGAAGGGGAAGAAGCCAAAGCACCACGTTATCCAGCTCTCCAAAACCAAACATCACTTTAGAATGCCAAACAAAGCCCTGCAGAGGGTTTATGGTCCAGGAGAGAGCTGACCTATCTGCTCCTCTGAGATGAAGTTGTTACCTGGGCATAGGAAGCCATCCCTTCCTCCAGAAAGGAGCAGAGCTCAGCAGCAAGCTGAGCAGCAACCACTGCTCTATACAGCCAGTACACACCGAGACTAAAGCAGCACAAGGACTCTGGCCTGGAAGAGAAGCAGAGCAAGAGTATGAAGAGCTCCTACCTTCATGGTGCCTGACCCCTCGGGGTGAGTGCTGGGATGAGAGAGCTGCTTGCACAGCAGTGCTGCCTGCATGGAGCTGGGGAGCAGCCTGGGCTCAGCATGTGTTTGCTAACTAGAGATGCCAATTGTTATTCCAGGCTGGAGTTCAGGTGGCATTTAACCACGAACTGCAACCTCTGAAACAGATGGTATGGAAGCCACAAGGACCACAGCACATTTCCTGGTGTGAGGCTTTGCTCTACAACTATCAACTGTGATGAAGGTCAGTGCTGGCTGCTCACCTAGAGCAAGCCTGTCTCCTGCACCTCTATCTGCTCTGTATCATCATTGATGCTGTCAGAGCTTCTCTAGCAGATCTCTGAAGGGGGACCACTGAACAGATGTGGCAGGGTAGACACCTATGAGCTAAGAACCCTCACACAATCTACTTCTGTTGTGCTACTGTACTTGGCATCTGCTCCCCAGAACAGCTTTGCAACACAGCAGAAGCAGAGCAGCTCTCAGTGTGGTGAGGGATAGACATGTTCAGCTGAGCATCTGGCTGCTCTGCAAGATGCTGAGTCGTATTATGCAAATGCCTGCCTCCAGGTCTGCTTTAGAAAGCCTCTGGGAATGATCAGGATCCCCTGTTCCAATCAGAGCTATTCAGAGGCAGGAAAGCCCAGTTTCTCTCCTCCAGTTCTCCTGGAGATCAGTTTTAGTCCATTATTGTGCTGTCCTTGGAACAGGCCTTTCCAAGGGGGAAGCCAGCACCGCAGCCTCACTGCTAGTTGCTGTAGTAGATAAAAGCTGAGCAATTACTACAGCATCGCCAGTACCAGCTTCTTCCTAAGGAATCCCATCACCGGGCCTGTTACTATGGAAATAGTTTTCTAGCTACAGTGCAAAGCTATTTCTGATCCCAGCATCACTCTCCAAGAAGGTCAGGTCAGATCCCCCTGGGAACTAACACTGATGCTATCAGCTCAGACCTACCTCTTTCTTCAAATGGGAAGAGTTTCCCATTAACCAAACCCAACTTGTTTCCACGGTGTTTTTGTTTGCAGAAGGCTGGGCTATCCTTCTTTTCCCTATAGATCCCACTTCCCAGCCCTTCCACTCCCAGATTACTCTATGACCAGGCATCAGTGTAGTTATGAATGTTATTTAGGAAGCAAGATGATCAGTTTTCAACATTTTAAGGAGCAATGTGACATTGTGCAATGGGGAGCCATGAACACAGCACGGAAAGTCAATTGCTTGACCACAACCACTCAGTGCAACACAGTAGAGATGCAATGGGCTGTTCCCCCACCCTCAGGGCATCTGCCTGCAGAACAGCCACCAACAGACAGGCCCCAAGATGAAAGGAAAAAAATGACCTCTCTATGCAGAATAGGCAAGTCCAAGCTGTCAGACTGGGTTTCTGACGTGATGGGTGGCAGAGAGATTCCTCCACCTTTACTTCTCTTGACCAGATACAAAGCCTCCGAGTACTGATCAGGATGTCAAGCATGTACATTGCCTGTGTACAGCTGGAGCCACCCAGAAAGGCTCACTTTTGAGTTTTTTCCTTTCAATTTCTCTACTAGCAATAAAAAACAAAAGTCAGAATATCCCCACCAGAAACATAGGAAAGGATTGGCAGAGAAACTGGAAAGCAAACCAAGGAACGAAAGTGCCAGGCCCTGACCATGCACCCCTCTGGGGGTGATGTGCATCCTTCAGGTGGAGTCAGAGGAAGCCTGGGCAGCCCATGTCACATTAAAATGTTGAAAACAGCAGAGCACTGGGTCTGATTTGTAAGTCAGGAGGAGAGAGGGGCAGGAAGAGGTTGGAGAGGCAACATCTATGGGGAGGCAATCTTACCGCTGAGGCGCTGGCGGAGAGAACGTAATTACGAGGTCTAGTCTCCTGAAAGTCAGGCACAGCCTAGTGGGGGAATAGAGTTTCATGTACAAGTCACAGGAGTCACTTGGGCAACGGATGACAGAAGGGACCAGCATCTTTCTCCTGTCTGTGCTGGGAGTTTAGTTGAAATTCTTATGGATGGAGGAGGGAGGTCTCCCAGCAGTCTGGGCAGTGGTGTGTGGAAGCCAGGCTTGTGCAAGAGGAGGTGGACTGGTTCATGCAGTCACTCAACCAGCGGGTATTTCTACTGTTAAAACTCTCCCTGCACTTAGAGCTATCTGCTTGTACAGCAGCCAGTTGGAGTGGACATTAGCACAATCTCAATGTGTTTCCCTTTCGCTTGCAGCCAGCAGGCTGCTCGTGTCATGCTGGCTCAGTCCAGTGGGCAGGACCTTCCTTCCCCATGCTTCCCACCCCCTGATCTCGAAGTGTCCCTGTGCAGGGCCTTATCCTTAAGGTGAGCATGTTGACTAGCACCAGAGCATCCTTTCCACAGTGCCTGTTAAACAAACATCCTGTTCTTACTCTCCCCAAGCCTCTGGGTGTGTTTACTCCTAACAGATCTGCTGTTCTTAGTAAGGGGCATGGCTTAGCAAAGCAGATCTAGGCCAAAGCCTTGCTGTTGCCAAAGGTAGCGTAAGAGTTTTCATCTTGGGGGTCAGAAAACCTTCAAGCCACCTTCTCCATAGCTAAACCCTTGCCCTAGGGCAAGGATACTTAAGCACTCTGGAAGTTCTTCTCATTGGGAATGTAAGGGATCCAGTCCACCTGCATGTAGGTGGGCTCACTGACCAGCACATAACATGGTCTCTATTCAGCTAAGCTAAGGCTAGGCCTCCACCTAGGATGGCCTTTGGCTGTAGCATTACCCAAAAAGATAAGCCATTGAGCTAGCTTATGTCAGGACCATCGCACTGGTTCTATGGATCAGGGTATCTTCCTTGGGCAGCCTTTACCTGCAGTGGCTGGGCTGCGAGGCTGGCACACAATCCAGCTGTAACTCAGCTATGTTTTAATCCTCTCAGGCCCCACGTTTCCTCTCCCAGGTTAATCTCTTTGCAGCTCACCCACATCTACTTCTACCCGCTGACCCGGTTTGCTGGGCCCCAAGCAGCTTGCTGGGATGAGTGAGCAGTGGGTGGCAGAGCACTCAGGCAGTCCCCATAAGAAGAGAGCTTTTGTAAACCATCTAGAAGGTTTGGGGATGGCTGGAGGAAGGAATAAGGAGGATTCCTGTTACAAGGCAAACCCGAATACAGGGAGAAAAATGTACCAGTGAGATCTGAGGCCAGCACAGCAACTAGGCTTGACTCCTCCCTGTGGGGAGAAGAGATCTTTCACAGGAATAGCTTCTTAGGCTTTATCTTTGAAGGTTAAGAGCCATCTCCTCCCATTCCCTGGTCTCCAGGGAGTCCCACAACTAGTCACAGCACATGGGATGAAGGAGGCAAGCTGCTCTTGTACGCCTGTGCATGGAGAAGTTGTATTTGCAAGCAGTGGTCAAAAGGGACCCACCTCCCTCCCCCTTTCACTCTTGTAATGGGGAAAACGGGCAGAGCCCTAGAGCCAGGAGGACAGAACAGCACCACAACCAGTTCAACCTGCCTGTCATTGTCTCTGGCTGCCTCCCTTCCAGGAAAGGGACTTGCCACCCAACCCAACCCAACCTCCTCTGCTTGCAGCCAGAGGAGCCTGAGTGGGTCTTTATGGGAGCCTCTTCCTCTCCTGAGCATTGCTTGCAAGCAGTGGTGATGGAACCAGTGCATGCTCCAGAGGGGCTGCAAGCAGCTGACGGATGCTCCCATCTTTCTGGAGCATCCTCCCCAGGCAGCCACAGCCCTGACCACACTCAGTACATGCTCCAGGGCCAGTCCCAGTGAGACAAGGGAGATAGGAATTTTCATTTAAAATAGGAAAGAGACAATGAGAGGTGGCAAAGAAAAACCAACCCATCACAGCACTGTTAGCACAGTCAATACTCACATCTCCCTCACACTGAGCAAATCACAAAGAAACAAAACAAAAAGGTTAGTGAACAAAACAGCATCAACAGGAAGGACAAAGCACAAAGTCCAAGGGAAATGCACAAGCCCAGACACCCAAGCAGCATCTCACAGGCCTGGGCAGCGGCACACGTGGAGGGTCAGTCACGACACAGAAGCTGTAGGAACACAAGTCTGCACTGCAGAGGGGAAGAGCAGCAAGGGAGTGCTGAGCTGGGAGAGGTGCCCTACTTGAGGCCAGCTTGGATGGAGAGGTGGGGCACTGGAAACTGTTGTGCTCTAATGATGAGTTACTGTGCCTGGAGCAGAGGCAGCAGTTCTCCCCTGCTGTGTTGGGAGCTTCTACCTGTGCCTTGTCCTCTAGCAGTTAAGTGAAGCAGCCAGGGACCCCGCATTTAAGCTAGGCTGGGTAGGAGATGGGTGCCCACAACAGCAGCTGAGGTTATCTTCTGTTGTGTGATCTCTGTTTCAAAGTAGAGTGGCTGAAACACCTTGGAAAGCCTGGAGTGACTCTGATCCTGCTTGGGGCACCCCAACCCTGCAGGTCCAGTGGGAAACCAGGCTTTTCTTTTCCAGAGAAGTCCTTTCCCCAGGGGTTTGGGTGCAGGTGAGAGGCCTTGGGATCACTTCATGTAGGAAGCAAAGAGGGTGAAAACGGAGGAAGCACAGGAGGTATCTGAATTCCTGCTCTGATTTGAGCTTAAGATAAAGCAATGGCCACCACTTCCCACTGAGACTGGGGGCACTTCAGATGGGAATCTGTGATCCCTGAAGTTACCTTCAATGTATCTGAGTGACCTGACTGATCAGAGGAAGCTTTTCTTCTTTTAAAAGGGCAGCTATGACTTTTATTCAGCCAAAGCTTTCTTCTGGGTTTTCCCCACACAGGCCTAAGCACTCTGTTAGGCCTGCTCAGGGAGGCTGCTGAGCTTAGCACAGCTTCCCCATATGGCACGTATGCAGTTAGAGCTGGAGAAAGGGGAAAACACCTGGGAATTGGTCATGCAGGGAGCTGCAAGACCAGAGGCCCAGCTGAGCAGATGGCTACAAAACAGGTTCATGGCAGGGCTCCTAGGCTGCTATCCCAGACAAGGATTCCTGCCTACTCTGATTGCATGTTTGGTAGCTGAGCTCCTGGCCCCAGGCTAGAAGCAGAACTTGGCATGTCCTTGTGCCAACAGCCAGAGCACTATGGGATGGCAATCTGCTTCAACAGGGTCCTCCAGGGAACCCAGCAGTGCCCAGCTACATCCTCTCTGCCTCCTCTACACCGCCCCTGCCCAGGAAGAGCTAAGCTTAGGAGATGCTTTAGGCCCAGGAACACCCTGAGGTGGTGGCAGTGCTTGCCCCCATTGCTCAGGCCTGCAGACAGTGGCACTGACTGATTTACCAGCCCCTTCTGCACTGCTCTGACCTGGGACCTTTGGTAGTTTACTCGCCATGGTCTCCCCAAAGAGAGAGGACAGGACTAGCCTGGAACCCAACAGCACAATGAACTGAATGCAGAGGCTGAGGGAAGGACCTCTTGGTGGCCAGTGTGTGAAAGCCTGGGGCTGCTGCAGAGCCTCAGCAGGGGTTTCCCTTGCACACTTCCCAGCTCAGCACTCCCTTGGCTTGCTTTAAGATCCCCAGGGAAACGTAGTCCTCAGAAGATGCAGCCCTTAGTTACTAGCACAAATCATCCAGCAACCACTATCAGTCAGGAGGCAGAAACCTGTGTCAGGTAGAAGTTTCCAGACTCTGGAAGCTCCCAACTATTTGTTTCAGCAGCTCCCCCAAGGGAGGACATCTCATGGACAGGTCCGTGGCTCCTGCTCGCAATTCCCTTGTGCACTAGACAAGGAATTCCTTGCCCCCCATGCCTGTAGAGCCAGGACATGATGGAGCAGCCTAATTTTGTCCATGTGAGCCAAGCCCTGGGCCAGAAGGACAGAGAGGGGAAGGAGGGAGACAGTTACCGCTGCTTTGGCCTCGGCGGCTTTGGCTTTCTTCAACCTGGCCTTGCAGGCATCCAGATCCAGGCGGCAGTTCTGCAGGGTCCTCCTCTCTTTCTGGAAGGCATAGAAAATGGGTAAGAGCAGACTCAGGAGCTTTTGGGGAAGGAAGGGGACAAGGTAACATCTAGGAATCAGACCTGGTTCCTTCTAAAAAATGCTAGAGAGAAAGAAGCATCCCCTATGTTCATCTCATTAGCAGGGGTTCTGAGCCTGGCTTGCCTTCTGGGAATAGGGCAGCCTATGGGTAGGTGGTGCCCACTAAGGTGCAGGAGTCAGGAAAGGAATTACCTTCCTCATGCACACAACTGGCAATCCTTCCCTGCCACAGAGGGAACCCTGAGGAGATCCAGCACTGGTGTTCCCCATCCCTGCATTCTTTCAGGGGAAAGTCCTTTCTTATAGGGAAAGAAAATTCTCCTCCCACCCTTCTCATGTCCAGCAAGGTGAAACCTTCCCTGCTGCCACACTCACAGTTATGGTTCGCCAGTCCCCTTCCAGGAAGTTGCGCAGCGGGGTCAGGAAGTTGATGGATGCAGACTGGATGAAGTCCCGTTCTGCTGCACCTAAGCGCCTTTGAGTCTCTCCAACTTTTATCAAAGTCTTCCCTGCAACAACAGGAGACCTCAGCTCCATGAGAATCCATTCACACTGTGTTGGCTTCAGCCAACTCATCCAAAGCCACCAGGTTCCAGTGTTGGGGGTCGAAGGCACAGTGTATCCTGCCTAGGCAAGGTGACCATGCCTGTACCACACCACCTTCAGCCCTTTCTACAGTCTGCTTTTAGCTTGAGGCCTCCTCCCAGCTGCTTGCAAGGCAGCTTTGATGTTATCTATCTGCTGAGGCACTTACTCCACTGGTCCTTTTACTGCTCCACCTGCTTGCACAGAATGAATGCTGTTTGCCTCATAAAAGAGGCCCAGGAACAAAGCAGCAAATTAAAAAGCACCAGAGCAGAAAGAATGAGTTGATGAGGCAGTGCTGGCCGTAGGTGCAGTTACAGCTGGTCTGCCTGCAACAGGACTGGCTATTGAACAGCTATTGATTTGGACAGCAGCAACAAAGCTCATGGCAGAGGCAAGGACAGACGGCAGTTAAGGCCTTCTGTGCATGTCTGTTGCTCAAAGAAGTACCAAATGCCTCCAGAAAGGGGCAACTGTTAGGATTTAAGAGCAGAAAGATGCTCTGTGTGGTCAGGAAGGGGCTTGTTGAGCCTTGTAGACAAGCACCAACCTTTTCAAGTCTGTTTTCCTGTTTTCTTTCTGCTGGAGAAAGATTTCCATGCTCCATTTGCAGGACAGAGTTAAAGGCTGGTTCTCCCGTTCAGAGCCTATAGAAACTCTGCAACTAGGTACCTCCTTACATTAAGATACGCTTAAACTGCTCAAAGCTAAAGCCATTCACTGCAATTCTCTGTCCAGGCTGGTTTAGAAAGCCACAGAAATAGCACAGAATAGTTTGTGTTCTGTAAGCAGTTCCCTTACCTACCCTGGATCCATGTGTCTATTTCTTTGATAGCTCTGCTAGACCTGAGTATTGAGAATGGGGAGATCTCTTTCCCCACACAGCATGGAGCATGCTTTGCCATGGAGTAAGTCTTGACTTCCTACTCCAGATGGGCTGTTTGCTTCTGTGCTAGAGAAGACCCTTCTCTGGCTTCAGCTTTGACAGTAACAGGCAGGTTGCCCCAGGTGGGAGCAGGCCACTGTGCCCCCTTCAAGAGACATGCTGCAGGTGTCTTAACCCCAAACAGTTAAGGGGATGCTCCCTGAGGAAGGGATGGATTCCCAGGGCTGACTTACCATAAGGTGTCCCTGGCCCAAAGTCATTAGCTGCTTCTGTCATGTATTGTGCCAGCAGCTCCCCGTTGGTGACCCGGGAAGGCACCTTCCGGTCAAGCTTCTCATAGAGGAATTCCTCTACTCTGGCACCTGCAATGAGGATAGCACTGGTGGTTACAGGATGGAGGATGAAGAAGGGACCCCTGGAGCTGGCATTCAGGGTAGCCCACCCCATGCAAGCCTCAGTAATGCACTGGATAGCAAGCACCAGGAGAAGGTGTCCCTTCCAACCCATCCAAACTCAGTGCAACAGGGCTCTCTGCCAGAGGGCATGTCTTTAACACCTGCAAGTGGTAGTTGTCCTTCAAGCAGTAAAAGAAGCTAAACTTACTAAGGTTTGGCTGTAGCAGGACTTCAGTCTGACGCAAGATCTTCTCTGTCCAGTTCTTTGTGCAGTCTGCCCTGGCCATAAGGTTTTCAAAGTGGGCATCTAGTTCAGTCTTCTCAGCCTGACCCAGCTTTTCTTCAGTAAACTGCAAGAAGGAGGCAGTTGTTAGAAGGTCTGTTCTACTAAAGCAAAATAGCAGTGTGCTCCAGGACTATTAAGAGACACTGAAGCTTCTTGTGTCTCATGCATTTATCTTAGAGTAGAGCTAAAAGGCCTTCAAGGTGTCATTCTTTGTTCCTAGGCCTCTTTCATGGGAAGAGAACAAATTTTGCCCAAGAGTGGAACAAGGACTGAGCTAAAAACAGAGTGCAGGTTTGAGGTGTTCCAGAATCAGTAACTTTTAATAAGCTCTGGTATAAAAATACTCTAGTTGTGAGGAATCCATTTAAATGAGAAGAACCGCATGCAGGAGAGCAACAGACATCCTTCCTGTAAGGGAAGGTGCCATCTCCCTTCACCTCCTCCTAACCAGCTCTATGTCCTGCAAACCCAACAGGATCGGGGATGCCACTACCACCTTGGGAGTTGAGCTTTCTTCTCATCTTATTGGACAAGCCCTGGTTTTGTTACAGGGCTTGTGAGTGCCTTCTAAGAGCCATCACACTGAGAGGGTCTGAGCACTGCATCCCAGCTCTCCTCCTGCCTTGCTGGCAGTGAGCTGGCACCTCAGCATCCAACCTTTAAAGAGGCTCAAATTCAGGATTTAGATGATACTTCTAGCAAGTGACTCTTCCTCTAGGACATGCTCTGGAGCAGGGTACCGAGAGGAATAGAACAGTGTCTGGCTTCTCTCAGCACTTGGATTCATACTGGCAATGGATTCTTCCTCCCTCCCTCTGTGATTCCTTTTGAGTTTGAATTCAACAGCAGGGAGAAGCAGGCTGTGCAAGGCTTCAGTGTTCTCATCCTGGGCAGTGACATCTGACACAGGCAGGTTGGTCAGTGTGGAGGTGCAGCATCAGACAGCCTGGACACCCCCAATTGCTTCCTTGGGGGATGTTTGAGAGAAGCGCCTGTTCCCTCTCATCCCAGCCCCACTTTCCACTTGCTCCTTTTAGTGAAGTTGCCAACCTCAGTGTGTTTCTAAGCGTAATTCCTGGTTTTGACAGAACCAGCATCTTGTTGGATCATACCAGAAGATCCCTTCGGACAGCTGAAGTTGCAGTTGTCCTTTTAGCCCTTATTGCTGGCTTCTGGTACCACTGTTGAGTTACCAGGATGTGGTACTATAAAATACCTGGTACACTTGGGTGCCAAGAGGAACATAGATGAAATAAAACTCCTGTCTGAGCTTCCACTTGTACCTTCTCTCCCCTCCCTTATCCCCACTCAGAGGAGATGCCCTTTTCACCGGGTTTCAGTCTGGTGCCTGCTGCCTCTCCTGAATGGCTTTCTGCCAAGCTCTGGCTGCCCAACAGCCCAGTTCACATCCAGTACAATGCTGGGAACAAAGTGAGATAAGGAGCAAGCCCAGAACCAGCACGGGAGGCAGGCAACCAGCCCTTAGGAGTCCTGTTACCAGCCCTGTGCAAATGTTCCTAGATGTCAGAGATAGACAAACCCTGCAGGTATGTTTACACAGTGACCTGTTTGGGTGAGATTCCAGCTAGAGCCAGTGAACTGCTTTGTCAGATGTCTGTGGTGACACACAGTGAAGTGCAAGGACAGTCACACTCCCTCCTGCATCCCAACGGGGATGGAGGAGTCGCAGCCATGCATGATCAGGCATCGCTTTACTGCTCGCCTCCTCAGCATCAGTAGCCCTTGGTTACTAGCACTTAATTTCAGCTCAGTCTTACCCCCCTGCCTATCGCTGGACATGGCTAAAAGCAGATTGAAGGTGAGAGGGTGTTTGTGCTGCATTGTACCAAATGTCTGTGATTGTCTTTGAGAGCTATCAGACATGTACGAGCGGCTGGGGCTCTCTTCCTCTGTCGCTGTTGGAAGCCCAGGGCTGTTTTCCGACTCTGCCAGGCTGGGCTGAGTCACTGCCATGCAGCAAACTGGGGCTTCCCAGGTATTTGGCATCAATTCTCGAGTCATCTGTTTAAGAGCTATAACTCTTTGATGCAAGCATAACAGTCTCTCTTGCCCCCCTTTCCCAGGCAGCTTTTTCAGATCTCATCTCACTTTCAAGTCCAGCTCTTCTTCCTGCAGTTCAGCATCATCCTGCACCAGCATCTACCCTGGAGCTGTCAAGCCTAAACCTAGTTTCTTATCAGCTGAATTTAGTCAGCTTCTTACAGCATTGCTGCAGTCAGATCACTGCTGAAACCCCCCAGCATCCCCAGTGCTACTGCCAGCCTCCTGAATCACTCCAACTCTGGGGTCCTTTGCTCTATTCACAAGCAGCACCTCCAAGCACCAATGTCCTTTGCAGCTCTTTTGTGTAACCTACCCCTTCAGCCAGTGCAGTGGAACAACTCGCACAGCACTTGGCCAGGGAGCAGCCAGGAGTCAAACTCAGTTCTTATCTCAAGATAGGCAATAACTGTGTTTGTCTTGCAATGCTGAGGACATGCACCACAATCACTGCAAGCCTGGGGGCTATGCCAGAAGGGGAGGATGGGCAGAGTCTCAGCCACAGGCTGTGGCTCCAAAGGGTCAGACCAGAAAACAGTCTCTTATTCAGGCTTTCTCTCAGCTGGAGGAAAGCAGGGCATGAATGTCATGAAGTGGGTGCAAGGGCATGGGAGGCTGTTACTCCATTTACACTTAATTCCCTTGGTGTCTCCCCATGACCCCTGCCCAGGAATCAGCTGTGCTGCAGAGTCCTGCACAGCCTGGGGCAGTTGGCACCTCTCACTGCAGGCTGCTTTAGAGGGTGCTCTATTCCTCCCCTGCAGCACACTTCTGCCTTCTTCTCTGTGCACAGGAAGCCACTGACTCGGCTCAACGTGGCCTCAAATGTGACTTTTAGACGGACCAGAGAACTCACCCAACTTCACAGCACTACTGGGGACACAGCATCAGGTGCAGGGGAGAGCAGGACCACCTTTTGCAGGAGCAGTGTGCAGTGGGAACAGATGAAAGGTCTCATGAAAACACAGCCAGCAAAGGAGATGACAGGTAAGTCACACCACCTTCTTATGAGCTGGTTCTTGTCTGATGCAAGTGGGGATCTGAGCTTTCAGATAGCAACAGGTCTCAGCTGCTGATCCCCTCTTAACCGGCTGCCCAAGTCAGTGTCCTCAGTGCAAAGCAGGGTAGAACAGCAGCAGTTTATGAAGTCTGGCTAATCAAACACTTCCAGAAGAACTCCCCCATGAAGGATTTTTATTCCCAGGAATTAGTTTTCATAACACAGAGATTTCATTGTTCTTCCTTCCCATTGAGCAGACATAAGATTTCACTGTGAGGCCAAGAGGTGCAGGAGAACAGATGAACTGATCTCACACCTACTCACCCTCCTGACTGTAGAAAGACAGATTAAAAGTGTTTTCCTAAAGGCATTGCTGTCTTTTGCAGCACTGAATACTCCAGACTGCTACAAATGGGGGTGTTATTTGGTTTTATCCAGTTGACTTGGTGCATATCCACCTGGGAGAGAGGCAGGCAGAGCGTATCCAACTGCAACGTCTGGGGAGAACACTGAGCTCCTCCATCCTGCTGTAGCATTTGTTTTCCAGACCCTGATAGATCCCCAGCCCTGCCCTGAACTGGTTCCAGGATCTGCATCCTGGGATCACATGCCAGTGCCCAGAGGCTCCAGTGATCCTGCCCTGCAGGAAGCATCCCTGCAGCTGACCCAGCTGAGCACCAGCCCCGCGCCTCTGCAGGGAAGCTGGTGACATGATTAATAATGCAGAGCAGCCTTTTGTCAAGTGCCACTCTGGCTCTCCAGGAAGAGGAGTGCTGCATTCCAAGGCATCAATAATTCAGCCAAAGGTTGGGTTTCCTCTGGGAGGCCTGGCTGGCCAGCAGGAATACTGGACCCATTATCAAGGCCCATGAGGGCAAGCAGCACTTGGGTGACAGCCCCAAGAGAAACAAGACTGTGCTGGGCTGAAGTTAGGGCAGCTGCCTGCATTCACAACTCCCCTTTCCCTAAGAGAGTTGGTAGAGACACTAGTGGCACATCAGGAGGGTCAGCAAGTAGAGCTGAGCAGGATGGGTCCCTCTGTAGCTACATAATCAAAAAAGCTCTGCCTATAGCCCTAGTGACTTATAGCCATCAAGGTTAGGCTGTAGAACAACACATGAATTGTTTTCTTTGCTAAAACCCCCATAAAAGGGAGTGCAATAAAACCCCAGTGCTCCCACTGAGCTATGCCAACACCACAGCTGCTTTGCACAATGCAGCACAAACTGGCTCATGTCTCTTCCAAGCTTGTGTGATTTTTGCATCCCTGTCCCCTCCAGCTGGCTCAGGCTGTATGTGACCTCTGCCAGGGTAGCTGCAGCCCCCTTGCAGAGGATCTGGTGGCAGAGTTCAGGCCCTTGTGATGCAGTGTCCTCAGTCATGTTCCAGAAGGACATTACTTATGATTTTTCCACCTTACATCACAAAGATCAAACCAGGACCAGGAGTCTTAAACCAGGATGCGTTTCCTTCATCTGCCAGTAGATTTGGGCTGTTGGATTTTCTGAAGCCCCCAGACAGTTCAAAACACCCAGGCTGTGGTAACATTTGTTCTCTGGGTGATCAGAGGCACGACAGAATTAGTTGAGGCAAATCTACCTCCCACCTTGTACAGAAGCCACAGCCGCTCAGTCAGCATCTAAAAACTACCTGAATTTCAGCAGCTCTGGCCAGGATACAGGGCATGCTTCAAGTCTTTGGTCACCAGGAGTCAGGAGAGCTAGGCTGTGAGCCAAGTGAAACTGTGCTAGAGGACAGAAGGAAGCTGTAAACAGGCCAGATTGCTTTAACTCATGAGCAAGACATTTAGGAGAGGAAAAAGATACTGCTGTGGTGGGTTTACTTTCTCTGGATTCCAGGTGTCCACCATGCTGCTCTGTCACTCACCTCAGCAAGGCAGGGAGGAAGAAAAGAAGATGGGAAAATCCCTCATATATCAAGATAAAAGGGAGTTTGATAAAGCAAAAGCAAAGGTCATGTGCAGGAGCAAAGGAAAACAAAAGATCTGATCATCTACTTCCCACCAACAGACCATGTCTGGCCACTTCCTGGGACATAGGGTAATTGCTCCAGAAGACAGACATCATAAATAACCAGTGCTCCTCTTTCCTCTTAGCTTTGATTGCTGAGCAGACATCATATGGTATGGAAAATCCCTTTGCTTAGCTGGGGTCTGCTGTCCTGGCTATACCCTTCCCCAGGATCTTATCTACCCCAGGCTATTGGTGAAGGGGAATGTTGGAGAGGCTGCCTTGCTCCTCAGCTGTAGCCAAAACACTGCTGTTATCAACACCCTTCTAGCTACCAACACAGAGCTGCTATGGGGAAGTTAACTCCATCTCAGCCAGACCCATTACAACTACCCTCCCAGATTCATAGGTGTGTTTCAAGTGGAAACATGCTCTGTCTTGTACCTCTTGCCTTAAAACCCCTCTACTTAAGTCACCTGTTCTCTCTTAACGTTTCCAGCAACCAAGGTATCAACGCAGTAAGGTCAGCAAACAGAGCCTATTTTATCTGTTATAGATATTAAAGTCTGTTTTATCACCAGAGTTCAGGGAGATGTGGGAGTCTGTCTGCAGGAGCTTCAAGATGGAATAAGTCAACCTCTAGCTGCTGGTAGTAATTACATTAGCAGTGGGAGAAGCACCCAAAAGCTGTACTCACGCTTGGGCAATTTCACCCAGAGCCAGTTTGTATCAGAAACGACAAAAGACAGACATCTACGATTATTTCCAGACATCCCTGAGAGAGCCTGGCTTGCAGCCTGTCTAGAACAGAGACATCCAGTGTGTTACCTTTGGAAAGAGGGATGCCAGCTCTGTAGGGAAGCTGGAGCTGTTGGCACAGCTTCCCCTGCAGAGGTTTCTGATCAGACCACTTACTGATAACTGGAAGGTGCATCTGGTCAAACAGAAAGGCCTTATTCCTCTTCAGTGAAGATGGGAAGAATGACCTGTTTGAAGTGTGTCTGCAGGTGGTGCATCCCATCTGAGGATGCATCTGATGGCTGTGACTGGTGGTGTATCAGTATAGTTACAACCTCAAGGGAGATGCTGAACCCTACAAAAGCTCTATATCCTTGCAGCTGCCCAAGCCTGGAAGCTTGTTAAGCTTGTTCCTTACTCCCAGGGTAGCAAAGCTGACCACCACCTTCCCACCCCAGCTCCTACTCCCTGCTTTGCTTTTCTGAAGGAGATTTTAAGAGATGCCATGATACCCACAGAGCACTATCTGCTCAGAGAGCTGTATACACAGTCCTGCTAAGATAGTGCTTATACAGCTTTGGGGAGACACCACACAGCTTTTGCCACAGCTACCTCTGTCGTGCTCCTGCTGGAGATGAGGACAGGATTGCCCACGCAGGAAGCTGCCCAGCTTCTTCTCAGGCAGGTGTCCTGCTAACTGCTGCTTGAGCTAGGAAGAGCCATGTAAAGGCAGCAGTGGGTTTCTGAGTTATTGTTTTGACATGAGAGAGGTCAAGCCTAGCCCAAAATACTTTGTCTGGAATCTACATTAGGTTGTATTTGTTTCAAACCAGGACTGCTCCTGCTCTCAGCCTTTGGGAAGCCACCCCAGAAGTGGTGTGCTGACCATCCCTTCCCCCTGGCTGAGCAATGAGAAAGCCCTTCTTCAGTCTGAGTTCAGCTCTTGTGTGTTGGTCAGACATCTCAGGCAGACAGCAGGAGCTAATGCTGTCTGAGCAGCACAGCACATAATGGCCAGTCCATTTATCTCCCAGTCGCTGCGGTTCCAGTAAAACATCACTTTGTTAAATGCCTGGAGCTGAAGAAAGCATCTCCAACGCTACAGAAAAGGGAGCTTATTCTGGGCAGGACTTACTCACCTCCTGGAGGATCTGCTGTGCTGAAAAGTGCTACAAACCCAGTCCTTACTGCGAACCACAGACCCCAACTGTCACTTGTGGCTCTTTGGTGGAGACAGAGCAGCGCTCACCCACACCAGGACTCCATGGGGACAGCCCAAACAGGCCAAATCCCCCCAGCAATTACATTTCAGAAGGTGTTTTTCAGCCTCAGTAACCATTTCCTTGCAGTCTCCCCTCTTCACACAAACACCTGAACGCTGTCCACAAGTCCCAGGGCCCATTTTGTTCCAAGGAATTACTACTGTAATGAGACATATGAATATTCATATACGAGATTATGTGGAGTAGGTGTCGCAGGCAGAAGCCACTATTTATAAACGCCTCCTTTCTCTGGAATCACTGCGTGCAGACACTGTTCTCATGCCTGTCTCCTTCCTACGCCTTGAAGCTGAAAACCACTTAGGAGAGATTTACAATAAGGCTTAACATAAGATTTCTTCCCAGCGTTTCTTTCTCCTGCAACCAGGGTCATTTGCATGAGAACAGCATCTTAAAGCTTCCCATCTGCTCCTTCTTTTGCACCTGTAGTTAATGGCTCTCTTTTTCATCACATATGACTCACTGGCACGGTCGCAGGAGGTGATATCTGTTTACAGAAGATCGGTTCCTAAAAGAGCCGGAATGACTCCGCCGCGCAGGAGGTTTGGAACAAGACAACGCTGCTCTGTTTATCAACCCCCACACAAGAGCCTTGTCTTCTACAACACATAGGAACAGCCCAGTCCCAGAGTCACCGGGGGGAGTTCACTTTGCAGGCAGGATCCCAACCAGTTCTCACTGATCTCTCTCCTCTCCTGCCCAGCCAGAAGCGGTTTTCCAGTTGTGCCCAAGAAGCAGACTCGGTCACCACATCTCATCACCTTCTGCTTTGCTCCTCATGGATAGCCCTATCTCTTCACTCCACAGCTCCAGGGGGTCTCTGCGTCCCCCAGGAGCTCCTGATCTTGTTTGTGAGGGCCAGGCCTGATGCCCCATTACCCTACTGAGACACTGCTTGCTCAGCCTCAGCAGCTCCTTCCTACCACTTTACAGCTCTGTGTTAGCGCAGGGCTTGGGAGCCGCTGACTGAGGGGCTGCGGTGCAGACCCCCTTCAAGGCCACCTTTGCCACATGCCCTTACAAAAGGGAACAGTCCCCCATGGGCCCGGGCACAGCCAACAACAGCTCTTTACAAGATAAGCTTTACCATAAGCACAACAACCGTTAAGAAAGCACCGTCCCCTCCACACCCCGCAGGTCAGAAGCCTCTCTGGGGCTCTCCTCATCCACCTTTACCGCAGCAGCAGCCCCACGATCACGCAGCACCGCTCATGGTGGCTGTTGCTGATGCTGTGGCTCAGACCTACTCATTCCCCAGCCTCTCCCGGGTGCGGCTGGGGCAGGCCCGGAGCCCCGGGGCCCATGGCGCCGTTGCCATGGCGACGCGCTGCGGCCCAGCCCGCTCACCTGCATGGCTCGGGAGAAGAAGACCCCCGCGTCCGACGCCAGCTTCTTCACGTTGAAGTCCATGGCGGCACCGCGACCCGCTGCCGCCTTCGCCGCGCCCCCGCTGTCACCGCGGCCGCCGCGCCTCCGCCCTTTATAGCCCCGATCGATGCCCTCCTCGAGCCGCCCCGCGGACTCTTAAAAGGGCTGCGCGTCACCGGAGACGAGGGGGTCTCCCGGCGCTGATCCAGCCGGGCGGGCGGCACCGCGACTGGACGGGAGAGCGAACCGGAGCGGTCCGGCCGGTGCCCGGCTTCCCCTGGGAGCGCCTTAGCGGGGTGGGGGTGAGCGGGCTGGGGACGAGGCCCCTTTAAGCCGAGCCGCGGCGGCGGGGGGAGCTGTCATCCGCTGACCAATGGGCGCTGGCTCCGCCTCCCCGCCCCTTCCCCTCTCTGCTCAGCCGCCCTCATCCTCGAGCTAGTCCCTGGGATGCATTCTGATTGGTGAGCCGGCAGGCAGTTCCCCGCTTTTATTGGCTGAAAGGGTGCCGGTGGGCGGTGCTGCCCCCTCCCAGGGTAGGCTGCGGAGCGGGGGAAGGAGACGTTGCCCTTCCGCGGCCATGGCGCGCAGCGCGGGGAGAGGGCGCCGAGCGGGGCCGTGCGCCTCTCCCCCCCGCCACGGTGAGTGGTGCCGGCCGCGCTCGCTCGCTTGCTGGGGCCCATAGGGCCGCACCTATCGCTGGGGAAGTGGGGGGGAGAAGAAGAGGAGACGGGGACCCCTGGAGTGGAAGTCGGGCCTGGGGGCGCGCTGAGGTGCAAAGGGTACAGGAACCCGCGGGCGGCACATGTGCGGGGCGCTCCGGGGGTGCGAAGGGCCAGAGGACTCCGGTTCACATGGCACGGCTTGCCTCGGCGGGGGGTTCAACGCTCCCCCGGTGTCTCGGCATGAGAGCCCCCGGTGCGGAGAGCCCCAAGCAGAGGCGTTTCCGCGGGTCCGTGCAGCGTTGGGCTCCCCAGGCAGGCATAACAACCCCCGGGGTGTTCCTGTACCCGAGCCAACTGCACCTCGCTGCCTTCATCTCTGCGCTGGCCAGAGCGTTGCGTTTAACCTTGTGAGGAGAACGCATCACTCGTGTGTGGGCCCTGCGGCTCCTGCCACCTTGAGACCATTTCCTAGCGTCTCCCAGATGGGTGACCTGGCTGCGGGCGGTGAGGTGAGGGCAGGCAGGAGCAGGGGGTCCTCATGCAGCTGGAACACCACGGGGGGGTTTAGCCTGTGGGTGCAGGGGGATACCAGAGCCCGGTGTGGCTGCACATGAGGTAAGAGCAGTGTGGCCTGGCAGAGAGCAGGGCCAAAGGGTTTGTGACATCGTGGTGTTTAGAAGATGAGGTTTCAGTTGCTGTAGCTCTGTCCTTGATGTGAAGCATGTGCCTTTTCCCCAGCTGCATGGAGTAAACACTGAGTAAACTCGGTGTTGAAATCTCTGGGGCAAGCACCTTTGGTGGTGGCCCTTCCGCGGGTCTGTGGTGCACAGAAAACTACAAAAGCAGATTTTTGACAATGAAAACAGACCCGTGGTTATTTGTAATCTCTATATATGTATTCTTTTATAATGGTGCTGTGAACAAAATCCTTCCAACCACAAGCTACCACTTCTGGTGCAAGTAGAAACCTCTGGCAGCCGTCAAGTCCGAGGCTGCTGCTGCTGTAGAGCAATGTAGGGACCTGCCCCTGTGGCTGGTAGGGCAAGCAAAGCAATTGCTGCTGCTGCTGGTGGTGGTGGTGAGAAGATGCTTTGGATCTGCTTGGCTTTAGTGGCACTGCTGTTACAGTGTGGTTTGTGAATTAAAGTACAAGGAGTACACCTGGAGTACTGTGTGCGGGTCTGGTATCCTCAACATAAAAAAGACATGGAACTGTTGGAACAAGTCCAGAGGAGGCCACGAGGATGATCAGTGGCTGGAGCACCTCCTGTATGGAGATAGGATGAGAAAGTTGGGGCTGTTCAGCCTGGAGAAGAGAAACTGTATGGAGACCTCATAGCAGCAGTCCAGTATCTGAAGGGGGCCTATAGGGATGCTGGGGATGGACTCTTCATTAGGGACTGTAGTGGTAGGACAAGGGGTAATGGGTTAAAACTTAAACAGGGGAAGTTTAGATTGGATATAAGGAGGAAATTCTTTCCGGTTAGGGTGGTGAGGCACTGGAATGGGTTGCCCAGGGAGGTTGTGAATGCTCCATCCCTGTCAGTGTTCAAGGCCAGGTTGGAAGAGGCCTTGAGTGACATGGGTTAGTGCGAGGTGTCCCTGCCCATGGCAGGGGGTTTGGAACTGGATGATTTTAAGGTCCTTTCCAACCCAAACTACTCTATGATTCTATGAGGTGCAGACTGTGTGTTCTCTTCACTCACCCGATTTTCCCCTCTTCCTGCAGGAGGAGCACTGCTGGATGAAGGCTGAGCCCAGGACTCTGAGCCAGGTGTCAGAGGAAAGTTGGATTTCTTTGTGAGCAGCTCACGCAGCATCCACAACAAGTACCCTTCCCCTTGCTGGCTCCTGGAGGTGCCAGCATCCTTGTGCAGACATGGCATTTAGAAGGACAGAGGGAATGTCCATCATCCAGGCCTTGGCCATGACTGTGGCAGAGATCCCTGTGTTTGTTTACACCACGTTTGGGCAGGTACAATAGTGGGAAAGGTTTTTCTGTCTCATTCCTTGGGTTTTCTTTGTGGTAGTTGTGAGGGACAGAGGCCTGACAGGGTGATGCTGGGGTACTTGGGTGGTTTGAGGGTTGGTACGAATCGCATGGTGAGTTTGGGGTAGTGGGAGATCTGCTGGTGGTGGGCTTGGAGAGGGGATAAAAGGGTTTCCCACATCCCTCCCTGGAAGAATGCATGGATTCAACCCTTCTCTTCATCAAAGGTGCTAGAAAAAGACTTCTGTTTTAGAGAAATGTATTTCCCACTTGTTGTAACCCAACACTTGGAGGCATAAAGCTGAGCTCCATACCAGGGTTTCAGAACTGAATTTGGATAGCCTGGACTGCATCTCTTACAGGATGTGTGTAAATATGCAGTGTGTTTTGGCAGTGAAGATTGAGACCAAGTTCTCCAGGCTCTGTCGAAGTGATGCTCCACAGTTTCTCTGCTTCTAAGTCTTAGTTTTGTAGCAGGGGCTGTGTTTTGCAGGCGGGAGGGGGAATGCCAAAGGTGTTTCTGTTTAAAACTGCTTTAAAAATAAACCAAGGGTGGTGGAATTGGTTTTTCATTGTTGCTCTTTCATATCTTTTGTGTTTAAAGTCTGTCTTCTCTCAGCTGCGGCTCTCCCCAGGCCTGCGTAAGGTGCTGTTTGCTACAGCTCTCGGGACGGTTGCGTTGGCTCTTGCAGCTCATCAGCTGAAGCGGCGTCGGCGTCGGAAGAAGCAGATTGCTCCAGAGAAGTGTGGCTTTAAGCCTGGCGGGATCACGGTGCCCATCTTGCCAACCAGAAGGGTCTCCTCTGTGAAGAAAGGTTGGCCTTGCAAAAAGGGAAATGCCCCCAAAAGCCTTTTGTGAGGGGGCAGAGAGGGTGCACAGGGGGTGTTGGGGGAGAGGAAAGTGAACCCATTTGTGTAGTCCATCAATGCAGAATGTAATTGGAAGCCTAAAGCACAGTGCCATGAACACAGGGTTAGTGCAGGAAAAGGAGAGACCCTGAGTTCAAAGCCCTTGCTTTGAAAGAAGCAACACAAAAGTGGCACTGAGGTTTTCACCAAGGTTTGCAGTTTCTATCCCCCTTCCTACAGGAAGACCGTGGACCTGTTATGCTATGTGCCCCTGACAGTAACAGCCCAGGGCACACAGTGACCTGGTTATGTATTGATCTTGGTGATGCCAACATGAGGCCTGACCCAGGGGTCCCTCATGCAGCCGCGTTGGTGAGGTTGGGATGGTAGAAGGGAAGTTGGCCTGGGGCTGGCTGGGGAGTTGTGAATGTTTGTCCGGCTCTGAGGCAGCTCCTGCACCTGATTGTATTGATTTTGGGGGTAAGACTGACCCAAGTCCTCAGCAAAGCACTCGAGGGATTAAGTATTTCTTTTGTGAAACGTGAAAATCCCTGAATAGTTTTAATAATAACCAAAGGAGGGCCATCTGTGCTCTGCCTGGCCTGAGGGAGGCTGGAAGAGTTCCTTCTTGGTGCTTCCCACTTGCCTCCTGCTGTCCATGAGTAGTGAATAAACATTAATTCCCCAGCCGTGGAGCCCCACTGATACCAGCTTTATTAGTGTCTCAGGGCAAAATAGAGCATGCAGGATATCTGTGACTTATTTCTAGGTACTGGATGCTGCTTTGCCCATTCACCATCACACTTCTCAGGGCAGTGTTCCCCTTGCTGTTCACAGCTGCAGTGAACTGAGCCTTAAAATCCTGGTTTTATGTGGCCTTTCCTTGCAGGATACTCCAGCAAGAGAGTGCAAAGTCCTGGCAGCAAGAGCAATGACACACTCAGCGGGATTTCCTCCATTGAGCCTAGCAAACATTCCAGTTCTTCCCACAGCCTCACCTCGGTAAGATGGGAGATGTGCGTTCACCTACCTGTAACAAGGGCACCAAGTCCTTGGGCTTGGGCTGGCCCATGGGTAATGCTAAGGCTCTTGGAGCAGGACAGGTTACAGCCTAATTGTAGGGTGAGTTCTGATATTAACTTTGCAGTGATTGTCTGGGATTGCCTGCATGAAATCAGAACAGCATTTTCCCCTCCTGTGCTGGGACTGCTCACAGGTTGCTTGGTTATTAAAACAGAGGTAACTGCCAAAATCTGATAGCTCTGTTCAGGAAACAGTGCAGGTTGAGAGCACAGCCCAGTTGTTTCTACCTCCTCCAAAGCCAAAAGCAGCCTATAAATACAGGTAATTCAGGCATAACCAGGCAGGAGAAGCCATCACTGCTTATATCCACCTCTTGTGAGACCAGACACAGAATTGCTGGGAACCATTTGTGGCTTTAAGACCTGTTTTATATCTGTCTCCATTGCCCAAAGCCTTGTGTGCTGCTGTTCGATCATCAGGCAGCCCAAGTGAACCTCTGCAGCTTTGTGCACTGTGACTTATTGCAGTCCAGCCCCTTGGCATCGCCTGCCTGGGCTCGGTGGCTGGTCAGCAATGCTGGAGCAAGGAGAGGGGCAAATCACCCCCTCGAAGGGAGCTCTGGCCACCAGCACCCCCAGGCATTGCTGGGTTTTAGCTTGTTCTCTGCATTTTAAAGCAGCAGAAAGCTGCCAAAACTCTGTGCTGGGCACAGTGTGTCTCCAGCAGGCGGCAGTGTCGGCCCAGCGATGAGTGTGCACTGGAATTCTCATGGAATTAACTGGGACATGATGGGACGTGTCAGTAAGCACCAAGCTGTGTCCTGCTCTGGCTTCCCTCTCCCTTTGGGAACTCTCACATCCATTTAATTCCCCTGCGGCTGCTCCCTTCCCACAGATGCTGTCCAGGATTTAGAATCATAGAATCATAGAATAGTTTGGGTTGGAAAGGACCTTAAGATCATCCAGTTCCAACCCCCTGCCATGGGCAGGGACATCTCACACTAAACCATGTCACCCAAGGCCTCGTCCAGCCTGGCCTTGAACACTGCCAGGGATGGAGCATTCACAACCTCCCTGGGCAACCCATTCCAGTGCCTCACCACCCTAACAGGAAAGAATTTCCTCCTTATATCCAATCTAAACTTCCCCTGTTTAAGTTTTAACCCATTACCCCTTGTCCTATCACTATAGTCCCTAATGAAGAGTCCATCCCCAGCATCCCTATAGGCCCCCTTCAGATACTGGAAGGCTGCTATGAGATCTCCCCGCAGCCTTCTCTTCTCCAGTGAAGTCAGTTTCTCTTTAGATAAAAAGCTACCTAAATACCTTTTTTGCTGCTGGTGCATGGATGGGGATATCCACAGAGAGGGATCTGTTCCCATATTCCCTCCGTGGTGTGGGACTGAGTGTCTGTGACACTGTACTCACTGCTTTCATGTTAGTTGGTGGAGAAACAGCTCATCCTTCGCACAGCTGCAGCTTCTGTCTCTTCTCTCATCTGCTTCCTGGGGTTCTTCTTTGCTATCTAATAAGTACGTCAGCAGCAGTGAACTGGTGATTTGCAGTTCTGGGTCTCGAGGTGATGTATTAACACTGCAGAGATCAACCAGCAGAGGCAGGACAAGAAATCATCGGTCAGATTATTACGGGAGGGTTTTTGCTGCAATCAGACTCCCATTTGGACACCTTTTTCTGAGCCATATGAAAACACTGGTCATTGATGGTGTCTGAACCCAGCACTTTATTGGGTGGGACTTTAAAAGACATTTATGAGCTAGTATGAAACTGGAGAAAGGTGACAGTTTGCTGTGTAGCTCTTAGTGCTTGGCTGTCCCAGGAGAAGCTTTGGTTACAAAGAGAAGGGTGAGGATCCCCCTGGCCAAAGCTCTCAGCTGTATTTCTGCTGGTAATCTGTTCCATTGTTTGGATTGTGGTCTCTTCCCTCCCACTTCCAGTGTTTTGTGTATGGATACCTGGAGCTGCCATGAACTTTCTATCAAAATCCTTGTGCCTTTGTAGTGATTGCTTTGGAGCTTTCTAGGGCTGTCACCTCCATCAGTTCTCTCCTGCTAGCGCTGCCCATTGTACCTGGTTTCCTAATGAAGCTTCAGTGTAAATTGCTTGGGAAGGTAATTCCCACACAACTTCCTGGGCTTCCCAAGACCCCCCCCTGTGGTGCTGGGTGGAGAAGGCGAGAACTTTTCACCTTGCCTCCACTCTTAGCATGGTGGGGCTGTCACAGCTGACAGTGTAGTGTGAACCCAGGCGGGAAGGGGCTGGTAGCCCTCGATACCTTCCCCTTCCCAGGGCAAGGAGAACTGGCACAGGGGAGCACAAGGACAAACTCAGGGAAGGGAATGACTAACTGGTGGTGGTGTTTGTGTGGTCTGAACGTTGCTACCCCTGGAGAGAATTCAGAAGGTGTTTGCTGCTCTCTGCTCCCTTCCTGCAGATGGTAGCAGTCAATTCCTCAAGTCCAATACCAGCATCAGCAGGGATGTGGGAGGCCCAGGCAATGGGAGATGCTGGAGCCATTGGTGATTCCAGTGCAGAAAGCCTCTACATTCAAGGTAAACAGGCACAAGGATAGCATTACTCTGGGGAGGGATGTTTATCACTGTCATTCAAAAAGAGTGCAAATTGACACAGAGCATCAGCAGCTCTCTGATAGGAAGCTCTATCCTATTCTGAGATTAAACTCCATCACTTGTTAGTTACAAAAATGCTGTCTTCTCTTAAAGAAACATTTCTCTTTTCTCACGGAATAATTTACTTCCAAAATACTGTTCTTGAGCAACAGGATCACCTTGTGCAGAGAACAGTACTTTAAAAGTAACATGGCTGATGTTTTAACCGGTTTGGGGATGTTCTTAAATACAGTTTAATTTGGATTAGCAGTTAAAAGGGAAAGAAATAGAGTACATTTATTCTTTCTTATCAGCTGGGGAGAACTTCCCTCTTCACTGTATTGTCTGAATGAGCAAACACTCATGCTGTATCGCTTTGGCCTCAAGTGGCCTAAGGCTCATACAGCTTGTTTTTGGTTGCATTGCCAGGCATGGAGCTATTTGAGGAGGCCCTGCAGAAGTGGGAACAGGCACTGACCATCAGGCAGAGGGACAGTGTTAGTACCAGCACTCCCGTGCCCTGGGACAGCAAGAAACAGCAAGAGAGCATATCTGAGAACATCTCAGAGGTAGGTCCCCCCTTTTCCCTTGCTGGGGAGCATGCTGAATGGCAGCCTCTGTGCTGGAAGCAATAAGTTAGTAGGAGGTTAAAGAAGAGCAAATTAAGGGCAGAGCTGGGCCAGACTCTGTTTAAGACCTGTCTGTAGCTGCAGCTTCTTTATGCAACGGGAGTGGGTGTTTTTAATGTCTTTTTATTTTTAATAAGTCTCGCCCCCTCATTCCCCAGCTTTTCTACCCACCCTCCAGCATGGTGTCAGTCACTGTCAGGCAAGTCCTCCAGCAGCAGAGGCTGCGGTAGGAAAAGGCTGTAACTACAGAGCATCTGAGAGGAGGGAATAGCTTTTGTGTGACAGTGTTGTGTCTGCAGCTTCTGAATGCATTTGAAAGTGGAGATCATGATGGTAGCTATCACTTGCTAGGGAGCTGGGTGGAGAGTAAGAGGCTAGCTGGCTGCATGAGTAAGGCAGAGTGGGAACTCAGAAGGATTTAGGTAAGCAAGAGGGGTAGGGAGATGTGTAACTTGTTCAGCTACAGCTATGAACCCCAGTATTTTAGGACAGCACCTTCTATGCAGGGAAGACCTCTGATAAGAGGAGATCCAAACTAGAATGGCTTAGTGACAACCATGAAGCTCAAAAGAGCAGCTGTAGCTCAGGACTGTGAAAGGAGTTAAACTCCCAACTCTCCAGGAGTTCTTACTGGCAAAAAGAGTTCCTGGTGCAGGAAGCATGTGAGATATTTGTCTTCTGTCCTGGATAATATTTATCTAAGTCAAATCTGGATTCTCTTGTTGTTGTTTCTCTTTGAAGAGTCCTATATAGTATTTCTAAAGCTGATTTAAAACCAGTTGGTTCATTATCAAAATAGATTTCATGCTTGTTATAGATTTCATTTCTTGTTAATGCTTCTGTCATCTGGGTGCGATACTCATGCAGACACAGGGCCATGAAGGCAAGTCTTATTTTTCTCCTTTTTCTTCTTTATCCTCCTGTGCTGCTTACAGCCAAGTTTGCTTATGCCCAGCATCTTAATCCGAGGACTCTTAGTCAGTTATCTAGTCCTGGATCCTCTCTTGTATTCGACACAGCTTTTCTGGCGCAATTCCCTCTTGAAATTAGGCTAAAATCACAAATCATGGGAGCTCAGTGATACATAACTTGTTAAAATACCTGTTATTCTGGATGGCAGGTTAAAGTTCTTAAGTTCTTTCTTCCTTTTTTTAACAGGAAAATAGAATTGCAAAGCTAAAAAGCCAGATGGCTTGAAGAGGCTGTGTAGAAACTTCCCTCTGCTTGCGTTATTAGCTGCACTGTAGGATTAAGGAGTCCTCTCTCTTGTTTCTTTCTTTGTTTTTACAATCATTTGATCTGCAAACTGCAAATCCCATTTTCTGGAAAACTTCTTCCCATGTCTGTGCTGTTTGTCTCTGCCCTGGCTAACTAAGGGTGGCTTTTATGTGTGTTCAAGGAGGAGTCCCAGAAAAGGGAGTTTGCCGAGAAGCTGGAGTCCCTCTTGCACCGGGCCTACCACCTCCAGGAAGAGTTTGGGTCTTCACTTCCATCAGACAGCATGCTGCTGGACCTGGGTATGGGAGCTGAGCTGGAAATGCATGGAAGGGGCAGTTTCCATCTGGATGTATGGCTTTTCTGTAAGCTAGGCAAAGGGCTGTTTGTGGGGTGGGGGAGAGGGACAGCACAGGAGCTAAGAGGAAGGGTAATTCATAACCTCCAACACATGCAGCTTCTTCCTTTCCTCCAGAGAAGACTTTAATGCTTCCATTGACGGATGGGTCACTGCGGCTGCGGACGGATGATGAAGACAGCTCAACCTCGGAGGACTCCTTCTTCTCTGCAGCAGAGGTGACTTAAGTTTCAGCTGTGTCACAGCCCAGCTACTTGCAGGCGAGCCACGAAGGAGCCAAACACATCTTGGTAGAGGAAAATGAGCAGACATGGAGCGACAGCCCCAAGCTGTGAGGCTCTTGATGGATGTTAGGAAAAGCCTCTTTTAGTTGGGGGCATAGTGCAGCCCTTTCCAATTGGCATTTGTAGATGTCTATTGTAGAAAGCCTGCCATAACAGTCAGGGAAGTACTGTAAATGTAATGTAACGTGGCTTGGTTACCTAAATTTTAGGGGATATTGAGCTGTCAAAGCTGGGACAGCTTCGAAACTGGTGGGAAAAGAAGTATCTTAGCATGAAATAATTGCCAGTGATGCAAGCTTGCATCAGGAAGGAAGGCACATTGTGCTTATGTGTGGTCTCTGAGTATGTGCAAACATTAATGAGATCGTTTTGTTCTTCCCATGTCTCTTGCCACCTCTACAGCTCTTTGATTCTCTCCACTTTGAGGAAATGCCATTCCACCTCTCTAAGCCAGTAGCAGCATATGAAGAAGCTTTGCAGTTAGTGAAAGAAGGGAAAGTTGCGTGCCGGACACTGAGGTGAACACAGCTGGAGTTGTGGGTGTTTGTGTCGAGGCTGCTTTGAGTAGTGTGGATACATCACTGCCTCTGAGCAGCCCTTTAACCAGAATAACCCTGTGTGGTCAGAAACTCTGAGCATCCTTCCTGCTCATTCAGACTTCTCAGGGAAGTAGCCCCAGATTTTTGGACACAAGTTAAGAAAGGGCAATTGTCCCAGGAAATTAGTAATGGGAGATGGAACTGTTGTGGGAGGCTGGTAGGCAGAGTCCTGTGCTGTAACAGCCTTTGCAGAGGTGCTGTGGTCCCCCAGGGAGCTGTACAAAGGGAATGTTGTTACTTTCTCCTAGGCACAGACTGGCGGTTTACTTTTTGTTCTGGGGACTGTAGTTGGTATGAACACAGCCATCAGGAGAGCTGGAATTTATGCAGTCCTTCCCCTTTTCCTCTAGGACAGAGCTCCTTGGCTGCTACAGTGACCAGGACTTCCTGGCAAAGCTGCATTGCGTCAGGCAGGCCTTCCAGGTGAGAATGGCTCCTGGGTTCCTGCAGCATGCTGCTGTCAGCAGTGTGTGCTCCTCCACCAGCACAGGGGTGAAGGCTTTGCCTCGCTAAAGCAAATCAAAGCAGCAACCTAGCTTCCCTTGCCTAATTCTGCAAGGGAATTAAGCAATCCCACCCTGAGCAGTTTGATTTGGAGAGCGGTGGTTATGTAGCTGCTGATGCTGATTTAGTTCTGGGAATCAAAGATTTAGGAATTTCAGAGCTGCCCAGAAGCTGGTGCTCTCACTTAAGAGATTTTCACTTGGGCTGCAGTCAAACCTCTGAGGTGGGGGAGGATGGTTTCTTTCTCCTTACCAGAATCCTTTTCCTGGTAATGTATGCTTAGAGTCTGAAGAGCAGCTTTTGAACCCTGGCCCAACTGCCAGGCTGTGGCCCCTGTGCCTCCCTTTTTGCCTCTTCCAGTCTTTCAGCCTGATTTTTAACTCGCTTCCTGGAGAGAGCAGTTTTGTTTTCTACACTCCAGCTTATTAAAGGTTGATGATATGGTGTCAGCAGCATTCACTGCTTCGTGTCGTGTCCTTTTTTGATCCCAGCTCAGAATTCATGTAGGTGTATGTGCTCACAGGAGCCTTCTTATGTTCCCTTTGCAGGAGCTGCTGGAGGATGAAAGCAATCAGTTGTTTTTTGGGGAGGTTGGGAAACAAATGGTGATAGGACTGATGACAAAAGCTGAGAAGGTAAGAAGTTTGTATAATAACTAAGCTGTGTTGTGAGCACAGAGACACTTGTTCCTTCATCCCAACCAGAGTTTGAACAGTGTGTTGGAAGAAGGAAACCTCGATCTGTATGCTGGTGACTAGTGATAAATACCTGTGCTTTTAATCTTGTTTAACCAAATTCTCTGGAAAGAGCTGTTCTGTGCATCTCCTATCCAGAATTTGATACTGTGCCTCACTGGAGAGGGTACGGTGTGTGCATCAGCAATGGCATCATCTCAAGCGATATTGGAAAGGAAAGAGATAATAAAGCCTTTACATCAGTGATGTAGGAGTTCAGATTGCTGTCTTAGTCACTTGGTCACCCCCTGAACAGGGAGATTTGTTACTTGCATGGCATTAGTAGCATTAGTCCCTTAGTGGCTCAGTTTGCATATAGATGATGGGTTTTTAGCTACTAGAAAGTGGAGCAATGTAGGTGTGTAGGTGCTTTGAGCCACAGCTGAGCCTGGCGCCATCCACACCTCCTAGAAATAAATGATCTCTTTCTGCATAAAGAGTGTTTTGGCTAAAAGCTTTATGAAGTCACATGCATTTATGTTGATGTAAGCTCAGAGTAGACAAACTTTGGTGCCTATGTAGCTGTTGTACCTTCTGAAGTGTTTTGTTTCTCTGCTCTCCCAGAATCCCAAAGCTTTTCTGGAAAGCTATGAGGAGATGCTGCATTACGCACTGAAGCAGGAGACCTGGCCGACCACTCAGCTGGAGCTGGAGGGAAGAGGGGTTGGTAAAAGACATTATCTCTACAAACCTGCAGAGGAGTTGGAAGATAATGAGTATGTAGGAGCAGTCCAGGAGTGAAAGAACCGCTGCTGAAATACTATTACATTGTGTACTTCAGCTCACTGCATTTTGTTACTTCAAACCAAAAGAGTAAAGTCCATCTCTTTTCTTTAACCCTGTTGCCTTTACAGACTGTTCTGCTCTTTGGCAGGTGGTATGCATGAGTTTCTTTGATATTGTGCTGGACTTCATCCTCATGGATGCTTTTGAGGATCTGGAGAACCCGCCCTCCTCCGTGCTGGCTGTGCTGCGCAACCGATGGCTCTCTGACAGCTTCAAGGAGACAGTGAGTAAACAGGGAGTTAAACCTGTGCTGAGTGTGAGATTACAGGGCCAAGGCTGGGAAAGGGTAGCACCTCAGCTGTCCTGGCTGAGCTGAATTCTCTCTTTAGAAATACCAGGCTTTCCTGAAGCTCTAAACAACAATCTTCTAGTACAGGTAAACTGTTTGCAGGAAAGCTTTCCCTATTTTGAAAGCTCCAATAGATTTACTTCTCTAATGGCCCTTATCAGTGATGCTAAATGATGACAATGCATGTTTTCATGAATGAAAATGAGAAGATCAGAATTTAGGGAAAACTGTGTGTGGTTCTGTGCACTTAACCATTCATTCTGGTGGTACCTCAGCAGCTCCTTTGGCTCCAGTGGCAGTGCTTTCCACTAGTCTTGGCCCCTAGCTGGGTATTTTAGACTGATTAGTTTCATAGAGTGCTTGGTAGGCACCTTTCAACAGCTGTCTGCTTCCGGTCTGCATGCTGGGGGGGTTTGGTAACCAGATCAGGTCATACTTTGGCTTTTCTGGAAGGGATCTGGAGTGGTTAAATCTGCTTGGTTGAGATGGTCTCTCTCGGTTAATCGTAGGCTCTAGCAACTGCCTGCTGGTCAGTTCTGAAAGCAAAAAGGAGGCTTCTGATGGTAAGTAAAACTAAAAGGGGAAAAATCAAATGTATTTGAAGCTGAAAACACCCAACTCTTGACAAAATACAAAACTGAAGGGGTGTAAGACTGAATCACATTCTTTGTGATGCTTTAGAGCGCTGGGGTCCTGCTGTCATTCCTCCAGTATTGCCATGCCAGTATTTTACTGAATCAGCCAGAGTTCATTCTCCCTTTTTCTTAATGTGAGGATTCAAAAGACAACATTTCCTGTCTGGTATTCCCTCTCCCTGCTCACAATACCATAGGAATGGTCACAGGCTCCAAGCAACAAGGGACTGCTCCTGAATTGTAGTTTCTGTGCTGGAATGAATGACTCCTGCACATCTCTGCTTCTCAGCACTGATTGCTGAGTAGCTATTACTTGATATATTTCCCTTAAATCCGTGGCTTTCTGAAGTTTCACAGCAGATGAGTTCATGGACCTGTGGAACAGGAAGCTGCAACTTCACAACCTCAGTTCTGCCACAGGGTCTGTGGCCTCTGGCAAGTTTTCAGCTCCTATCCCACAGCCAGCTGGTACAAGGAGGTTTTCCTGATGAGCTGGTACAAACTGAAATGAGAGCGTTGAGAGTTGTATTGCTGCTGCCATGCAGTAGCTCTGTCTTGGATATTTGCATGCCCTTTCCTGGCTTGGTCCAGATTTTCTTCTGTTTGTTTTCCTCCTGTAATAGTAGTTTAGCAACATGAAGACAGAAAGCTCTAGTCATCGTTCAAGGGATCTGAAAGATGAATGTAATCCTGCAGGAAGAGATGTTCTTAAGTAGCTCTTAACTTCAGTTATTGCAGCGTGGTGCTTTCTGGCAGGGAATTTGGTAGCTGATATGGAATAAGCTGCTAATTCTGAGCATGAAGAATTCTTCCTTTCCTTGTGACAGGTACCAGATGGTTTTATCTCTCATTTCTACTCCGTATCGGAGCATGTCAGTCCTGTTCTAGCCTTTGGTTTTCTGGGGCCCAAGCAGCAGCTATCTGAAGTCTGCAGTTTCTTCAAGGTAAGGTGGCTTTTTTGTACCTAATTTTGTGTGGGACTCTGCTGTCTCCTGTCCTAAGGCTGCAGATGTATGCTTTTGGTGACTGATTTGGCATTAGAGAAACTTTGCTCTGTACAAAAGCCTTCTAGAAATCACTTTTTTGAGATGCAGATCACTACATTTGGATTGGTAAGAATCCCACAGCACAATTTACCATAACTGATAGCAAAAAATGTGAGGTTATAGAATCACAGATTGGTTTTAGTTGGAAAGAGCCTTCAAAGCTGATCCAGTTCCAACCCCTGCCATGGACAGGGACACCTTCCACTAGAGCAGCTTGCTCCAAGGCCCTTCCAACCTGGCCTTGAACACTGCCAGGGATGGGGCAGCCACAGCTTCTCTGGGCACCCTGTGCCAGTGCCTCAGCACCCTCGCAGTGAAGAGCTTCTGCCTAATACCTAATCTAAAGCTCCTCTCTTTCATCTTAAAGCCATTCCCCCTTGTCCTACCTCTTCAAAACTGTCGAAAGTTCCTCTCCAGATTTCTTGTAGGCACTGTTTAGGTATTGGAAGACTGCTTTATGGTCTCCCTGAGTCTTCTCCAGGCTGAACAACCCCAGCTCTCTCAGCCTGTTCTCCATAGGAGAGGTGCTGCACACCTCTGAGCATCTTCATGGCCTCCTCTGGACTTGGTCTAACAGGTCCATGCCCTTCTTATGCTGGGTGCCCCAGAGCTTGTGTTGGCAGATGGGGAGAGATCTTACTGTAAACCTTCCTTTGCCTTTGCAGCACCAGATAGTACAATACCTAAAGGACATGTTTGATTTGGACAACGTGAGATACACAACAGTGCAGTCGCTGGCAGAAGACATTCTGCAGCTCTCGCGGCGGCGCAGTGAGATCCTCTTGGGATATCTGGGCACTGAGACTTCCCCAGCGATGAACGGCATGCTTCCTGGTGAAAATGAGCCGCTGAAGGAGCTCATCTGATCTCAGTCGGGAGGAAAACAGTTTTGTACAAGGACCTTTCTCCTTCCAGAGATGGATAAAACTACCTGCAATGTGCTGTGGTGGCAGCGAGACTTCACACACAGCAACCTGGTGGGACCTTCTGCTTTGTGTAGCCGGTAGTGTTTGCTGGGATGGATCCAGGACCACTTGCCAGCTTATGGTTTGAATTTCTTGTTTGTTCCACCTTTCTGTTCTTGCTATTTTTAATGTGTCATATGAACCATGAACTGCCTGGGCCCAGATTTTTGCACAATTCCCTTGGCTAGGGACAACATACACACACCCATTCACCTTGTGTGTTCTCTGGGAGGTAATCCCTGATGTTTACGGTTGCGTGTGGGAGCAGGAACATCATTGGTAAATTCTGCACTTGACCATTAGCTTCTCAAAGAGGCTTTGTTTGCTTTGGGGTTTTAATTATCGTTCTTCTCTGCTGTGTTGCTACAGACATTACTGCTGTTTTTTACCTTTAGGTGTTTTAATACATGCAATGTGACTAGCAAAGGTTTCTTTCCCAAGGAGGAAGAAATACTTCTCTAAAGCACTGAAGTAAAATGCAGACTTCTGTAACCAGTCTGAAGCTCTAAGGAAGTTGGTCTGTTCCCTCGATGTTGCTGCTGTTTGCGGGCCAGGTGACAGGCTCTGTGCTGTGGTCATCCACCCTTAGGAGATTGCTGAGGTCTATGTTTGCCCCTAAGGCAAGATATTGTGAGGAAGGGGTGGATTTGCATCCTGCCTGTGCATGCACAAAGTCTTTAATGTCCATCAGAGTGCCTTGCTGCATTTCAGAATGAGCCATTAGCAGGTTTTGCTAGGTAGGAGGTGTGGGGTGTACACAAGCAGAGGGAACCAATGTACTGTGCTGCTTATTCCTTCATGCACAACGTAGTAAGAGGTGTAGATGGTGGATGTGATGTACGAAAGGGGTTATGTGTGCAGGCAGCTGGAGAGCTGGGATTAAGCTGGTTCAGAGGAAATGACTCATGATAGTCTGTCAGTCCTAAGAAACATGGCATTGGTTTTGGGTATAGATCACACATGTGTATGTGTGTCCTTGTAATGCTGGGACAGGCTCTTCTCAAATGATGTGATCCTGACTGCATAAGCCAGCACCTGAAATCTTGCTGCTCTGGGACATCTGCTGAGTTGGATGCTAGCATAGGATAGCCCCAGTGTTGCGTGCTGGACTTGCAGAGTCCTGGCTTGTGTGAGTTTTGTGGTGATTTACTGAGTCCTCTCTGAATGCGGTACTGTGGATGGAGGTCGAAGGTCCAGCCTGTGCTTTCTCCTGGTTTAATCCACAGACAGCTCCAAGTCCCAGCCTCAGAACAAGGAGGTATTCAGGGAGAAGAGAATGAGGACTTTCACAAAAACATGGGCTTCACTGTTTGTTCTCCAGACCTGATTAGTTATCCCTTCTGTCTGTTCTAGGTAAAAGGTGTAAGTGTTATCTAGCCATGTCTTTGTAAGTGGGACCAAAAAATGTAAGAATCTGGAGATTCCATGTGAGTAGAAAGTCAGTGCGTGGGCTTGGAGAACACAAATGTCTTCTTTCTTCCTTCTAGGATATCTAATGTGGATTCTGCTGGTAAAAGCAGGAAGGAAGTAAGGAGGGAAAAAGTAAATAGGAGGATGTCAAAAGAGTAGATAAATGCTCCTGAGATGCTTTCAAGAGGGTAAGTGTAGAGTACATAACATCTGTTGCTTTATAAGCACACCAGACTGATGTGGCTTGTCCTGAAGACCAGATTAATGCTGTAAACAAGATAGTGCTGAGGCAGAGGTGAGGAGCAGCTGACCCAAGTGAGGCTGCATGAAATAAGCTATTATGAGGAGGATTTAAGAGGCAGCAATTGAATCTGGGAAAGGTCTCTGAGGTGTTTTGCTACTGGCAGCATGATGTGAGAGAAGGAACAGTGGATGTTGTATTAGCATGACACACCTCCTCTGTGTAAATGTGATTCTGAAATGTTACGTTCTGAAAGCAAGTTACTTTGGGGTGGGGGAGTTTATAGTACTTTGTGTTCTTATGTGGCTGGTTTAGAAGAACGAGTAACTTCAGCAGCTTTGTATAATGGTTAAAAAGATGCTAAAATGTGAAGGTTAATGTAATAATACGGATTGTAATTCTAATGAATCAATGCTGTTAATTTCTCATTTTTAGAATTGTTTTATGTGTATTTATTTGCTACTTTGAGTGTCTTTTGGCCTCAGTGCATGAGGCAGCATGTTGTGTACAGAGAACAACACTGGCTGTGGTCTTTGGTCTTTTCACATTGTGGTGGGAAAAGGGCAATGAAACAGTGTCCCATGAAGCAGCACTAACTTGCACTGCAGCTCTTTAAGCTAAGAAATTGTAAATTCCCAATCAATTAAATGGAAGAAAGACAGTGGTTTTTTTACAGCTTTATGCTTTTCCTTAGCTCTTATTGAAAATAGGGTACACTGCCCTCCCAGCGAAGGTAAAGAGGAGTTTTTCCTGAGAACCTCTGCAGCTTCTTGAGTGTATGTCTGCAGAGACAAACTGATTTTCTCTTTACTCTGTTAAACTCTGCATGCCCTGCCCTGTTCCTGCTGTTTCATTGCTGCTCTTTCTCCCTTCTTAATCCCTTTGTAGCCTGAGAGGAAAGGTGTTTGCAGCCTCCTGAAGGATGCTGTTGAGATCAGTGTAGTCAGACGAGCTGCTCCTGTGGAAGAGGCTCTCCCTGACCTGAGGGGTGGTGATCAGTGACCTGCTGCCTTCAGCTCCTTTGGATGCAATCCTGAGCAGAGACTTGGGCTGCTTCCACTGATCCCAGCAAGAGCAGGGCTTGGTCCAAATGGCAACCACATACTCGGGTTTGCAGGGCAGAGTAGAAGGTGGTGACCTCCTGCCCCCTGGCTTTGTAAGAGATCACAAGGAAATCCTCTTCTCCCCAGCATATTCTGTTTAGCAAAGGCAATTCATTCAGCAGATGAGATAGGCATTCAGGTAGAATCTCTAGAGATAAGCATTTACCTTTTTTATAATGAACCCTTATTCTCAAGGAGTTAAATCATGCTGGGCTGACACTTGCACGATTTTAACACTGATGGGGATTTGAAGTGGCTTTGCAGCTATGAAATAAAATCCTTCAGTAGTTTCTGATGCTTCAACAGACCTTCAGATATGCATGATTTTGGGTTTTTATGTGGGGGTTGTAACAAGCTTCACCAGTGGTTAAAGTACATCCTCGGTGCTTTAGCGTGTATGTAGAGACTTCACCAAATGGCTAGAGGAGGGTCTTTATGATCCTTAAAGCACAAATACATTAATAAATAAGAGGAAAAATCTGCCTTGTTATCTACAGGACTAAAATGGCTTTGAAGAGCAGGACTTGTGCTGTGTCATAGAAGGAGGTGGAAAGCAGGATGTCATCCCTCTTCAGTAGAACATTCCTTTGCTGTATCTGAAACTAATGAATGTAAACTCGTGCCTATTTTTGCTTGATTTCCTAAAGGTGTACAAATCTGTTGTTTTGCTTCTTTCTTTTTTCTTTGCAGCTATTTTTTTTTAATACTTTTAATCTTAGGCTGTGGGCATTCCATGTCAAATAAAATTTTCCTTCATGAGTGTGGCCTTTGTTTCTAAATTCCCTGGCAAAACTTGCTGGAAACTCAGTCTCTGGTTGCTGATGTAGGTGACAGTTGTGTGGCATTTCTGGTGTTAGTGATGGTATGAAACAAGGCTCGCTTTTCCTGGAGTCAGAGTGCTAAAAGTAGGTTTTCTTGGTCTGTGGGGTTTGTTTGCATGGGGACTCTTGCTGCTTCTAGCAAGTCTGTGGATGAAGCAGGTTCTAAACCAAGACAATTCATTACATGTTGAGCAGTGGCTGAAAGCTAGGCTTTCATTTCTGAGCTGTTTCTGGCTCTATGGCGGTTCGGTTGTGTTTGGGTGTGATGTGGGCAGGCCAGCAGGCTCTGATAAAGTGATAACAGAAATCCCAGTGAGGAGCAGAATCTCCTCCAAGTTCTTGTAGCATTCTTACCAGCCTCCTAAACGGTGTGAAAGAAACCCAGCTAAAGCCTGTGGGTTGGTATCAGAGGTGCCCATCTGCTAAGCAACGCAGGAAACTCATCTCAATCATAGTGTGTTTAAATACTTTCCTTTTCGAATGGTGCAGAAAGCAGACTGAAGCAGGCAGGCTCCTTGCTTCCACAGTGATTAAGATTCCATCCATACACTTAATACAAGCCAGCCCCGGTTAGCGTTAATGCAAGTCTGTCATGAACTGGGATATATGCAAATAAAACCTTCATGAATAGGAAGGTTTCTGTCTCGTGCCACACCCTGAACGTTGGTTGGAAGAGTTAAAAGGAGTTTGTCTCGGTTTCCATGGTGTCAGACTGTATATTCATTCCATCTCCTACAGCAGCTTTGTGCTTTCTTATGCTGAAGGAACAGAGCAAAGGCTGCGCTGTGTATTGACACTTTCTTCTTCTCTTCAGGAAGGAGTGGGTGAATATAGCAATGAAGCCCACAATTTTCAGTACTTGTCATGGTACATAGATCAAATGTAATCCACTCTGCCAGCATAACTCTATATTCAATAGCTTGGGAAGGAGGAGATTTATTTAACTCGACTATGAAAGCAGCAAATCACTCATGCTACCTCGCAGCAGCCTTCTGCAACGAGCTCGACTTCTGCAGTAAATATTTGCTCTTTCTCTCCAAATAATAAGCCTTTATTGCTGTTTTAATTCCTGCAATGGGGGGAAACGTGTCAGCTTTGAAGAACCTGTTGGAATTAATGGGACATGATCATCATTGCTATCTAAAATAAGGTATTTCACAACTGCAGGAAAAGGAGTTTTCTCCCCGTTTAGGTGAACGTGGTGGGGGATAGAAACCCTTTCCCAACATATATACAAATGAAAGGCACCCCTTGCCTATGTTTATCACTTGTGCTGCTCTTGCATATTATTCTGACAGGAAAACCCCATAAGTTTTACTTTATAAAACAATTTGGGGTGCTCATGTAAAGGTGACTTTGCCTTCTGCAGCCTTCCCTGTGCGATGCTGCTCCTGGGTCCCGCTTGTGGAGTGCTGCAGTTTGTGTTCTGGGGGTTTGGGCTCCTCAGGTAAGTGTTACCCTCTGGGGTCACATTGATTTCAATTTGGTCTCCAAAGTGGCTGATTGCAGTGCTCAAAGTTAGTTGGAGAGGGGGTGAAAGGTTATTACCTTTAGACCAGGTGGTGCCTGGTCTTTGTAATGCCTTTTGAAGGGTGGACTTTATTTTCTGCCAGGGCTTTACTTGAGGATTTTCACATATGCACGTCTGCTGGTCCTTCATAGAGCTATAAAGGAGATGTGGCTATTAAAAAAAGGATAAAAAAGGGCATTTTCATTTTTGGAGAGGTTATAAATTGAAAATCATCACCTGTGTGTTGAGCTAAGAAATGGGCTTAAGCTGTGCAAGAATCCTATGCTGTGGTACCACCGTTTATAAAATGAAGGAATCTCTTCAACCACCACCCTTTAAAGGGTGACAGGACACAAGGGCATTTTATTTCACTGACAGCGGGTGAGGGGGATGAAGCAGCTCCTCCAGCGCCAGCCCCACACGGCCCTCCCATGGCAGGCACCGCACGGCAGCAGCCGGGTGAGGAGGGCTCGTCACGGGTGCTGCTGCCGTGGGCCCGGCCCGGAGCTGGGCTCGCCGGAGCTGTGGGGACACCGGGCGCCATTGGACCCCCTCACCAAACCCCTGCCTCAGCCACCGCGGCGGCGCAGCTGACTGGCCGAGAACTGGCGGCAAGGGAAGCTGTTCATTGGCTGATCTGCATCACTCCTTTCGCCAATGATTTAAGGCAGTGACACCCGCCTTTCTTCCGATTGGCTTTTCCGCCCCCTGCGCCCTCCTCCTATTGGACACCGATGTTAGTGGCTTATTGGTTTTGCCGCTCCCCGGGCTGGGTTTTTAATTGGGTGGCTATGGGTTGGCCGGCGCCTCACCTGCCGCGCAGCGTCATTGGGCCGCCGCTTTCCGCGCTCCCGCCCATTGGTCTCACCGCCCCTTAAGTACGTTCTGATTGGTCGCGGTGGCCCGGCCCGGTATCCGGGTAAGATGGCCGCAGTCGGTGAGTGCTCGCTGCCCGCTCCGTGGCGGCCGGTCTCCCTCACTCACGTCGAGTATCCCGCAGGTAAAGCTCCGCTTCACCCCAACCCCGCTCCCCGCCGCTCCGCTGCCGGCGGCGGGGCCCCTCCCGCCGCTCCACGGCACCCCTGAGGGCCGGGATGGCAGCTGCGAAATAGTGAGCCATTGAGCGGCCGGCCGGAGGCGACGGGGCGCGCGTGCGCCGGGGCGCGCTGCCACATAGTGAGCCGCGGTTTGGGGATGGGGGGGAACGGGACGGGACTGGGCGCTGCGCATGCGCCGGGCTCGGAGGGTACCGAGCCCCCATCTGGGGAAGGGGCCCGGGGGGGAGCGGCCCTGTCCCGGAGCCGTGGGGACCCCCCCCATGCCGCCCTCCACTCCTCACACCACGGCTTCACCCCCTCCGCAGCCCCTCTGGACGTGGGAGGCTGCCCCGAGGCTTCGAGATGTGAGTCCCATCTGGGTCATCCCGCACCCCACAGCAGCATGGTGGGGCGGGTGTCCCCCTCCTCGCCCCGCTGTGGGGTGTGTGTGAGTGATGGTGGAGGTTTGAGGTGGTGTGATAGCAGGCAGGCTGGCTCCGGTGTGTCCCTATGGTATGGTGGGGTCTCTGCCTCTGAGGTGGGCCTGGCTGCCGGGCAGGGTCTGTTGGAGTGAGTCTAGAGGAGGCCATGAGGGTGATGAGGGGCTGGAGCAGCTCCTGTATGGAGGCAGGCTGAGAACACTGGGGCTGAAGAAGAGAAGCTGCGTGGAGACCTCAGAACAGCTTCCAGTGCCTGAGGAGGGGCTCTTCATCAGGCACTGTAGTGGTAGGACAAGGGGTGCTGGGTCTAAACTTAAGCAGGAGAGATCTAGGTTAGCTCTTAGGCAGGAGCTCTTCCCTGTGAGGGTGCTGAGGCGCTGGCACAGGGTGCCCAGAGAAGCTGTGGCTGCCCCATCCCTGGCAGTGCTCAAGGCCAGGTTGGACACAGGGGCTTGGAGCAAGCTGCTCCAGTGGAAGGGGTTGGAACTGGATGATCTTAAGGTCCTTTCCAACCCAA